GCCACCTTTGCTGCCGGTGTCAAGGCCAACAACTACATCGGTGATATCTTCGGTTCTCTGGGCGGTGTTCCAGACTTTGGTCCTGGACGCAAGCAGGCTCTTGTCGCTGGTGGCGCTTACAAAAAGCGCAGCCTTCAAAACAACTTCAAGCGTCGCATTTAAAAGATATGCTCTCTTTCTATCGGAAAGCTTGAAGTTTTAATCTGTTCGTGATATGAAAATTTATGTACTTATATTTGCATCTGTGAACAACCATTTTGGAATCATTTTTTTCTTTCATTGGTCTTCCAGAATAATCATCTGAATTCACTCGAATAGGTCGAGAGGAAAATAATCAGCCAATGCTTGATACCCCGCCACATTAGGATGAAGATGGTCTCCTGAATCATACTCTTCCAGCAACTGAGATGGCGCGTCCGGGTCCCTCAATACCCGGTCAAAGTCCAATACCGCATCAAATACGCCACTTTTTCGGATAAATTCATTAATTCGTTGACGAGTCCTCTCCCGCTCAGTACTTGAGTAAGGCTGCACATAGTCGGAGGTCGCCGACGAGCCGAATGGCGTGATAGTAGCTCCAAATACCGGAATACCCAAGGCATGCACCCGTGTCGCGATCTGTCTATATGCCGCCACAAGTTTCTTCTCAATTTCCGCCTGCGTGGCGGCATCGCCATCAGCAACGCCAATATCATTGACACCTTCGAAGATCATCGCATATTGCACTCCTGATTGTGCTAGGGCGTCTCGGTCAAGACGGCTGATCACATTTGGACCTAGGCCATCTTGTAGAATACGGTTTCCCCCGGCAGCCTGGTTAAGAATGGCGATATTCGACGTGGGTTTGTGCTTTTCCATTCTTGCTAGCAACAGATCCGGCCAACTACATTCATTAGCTATAAACCATGCACCGCAGGACGGCTCACTTACCGATCATTGCCATTTGTGGTGCTTCCTCGCCCATCGGTGATGCTGTCGCCAATGATAACGAAGCCACTAGACTCGGAAGGAAGCAAGGCCTCGACTCCACTGATAAAGTACCTAAGATAGGGGTCAGATGCAGATTCGCATTCGAGGGAATCAGAAGGTTTGTGGGAGAAATACGCACCAATGGTCCGTACTTTGAACAGACGAATCTGTGAGGTTCTCTGCGCCAGTCCAATCCCCAAAAGCGAGGTATGAAGTCGTTCTGCTTCCAGGGTGGCCAGTAATAGAGAAGCCTTGCTGCCCCTCTGCGAGATATATGTTGATCATGAGAGCCGATTGGGCCTTAACAGGGAACTTTATTGGGTCAGACACGACAAGGCCACCGTTTGGGATATCCACATCTGAGCCTCCATTGAAGAACACAGTTTTCAATGTCTCTGTATGTAGACCACTAACTCCCACCTGCTGGCTCGCTGGTAGGCTGATAGTCACATTGGTGATCTTGAGCTCGTTCAGCCCAAATGCATTAGAGAGTCGAATACGGATCTCTTGTGCTGCAAGTGAAACCTGAAGGGTTTGACGAATTGTAGCATTACTGAAGACAGCGGTGGATCCATTCTGTACCCCACAGTCAGTACCGAAGCATTGGTAGCCCCTGAGAATGGTATCCAACATACGAATGGAACCGGGGGTAGATTAGCGGGCTCGACCAACTGGGGCATAGTAGTCCATATATTCACCCAGTGCGAGTCTTCTGTGTTGCTGCCATGGTTTCTTCGGGCTAGCAAAGGGAAGGAAGATGCCAAGTGGACACACAGAGCGATTAGAAATATAGATCCGAGCTGAAACATAGTTACAGTTGTGGCAGGTAGTCGATCAACTGGTACAAGGGAAACAGGATCAATTTTCCCCTCATATTTCAAATCGAAATTCAATTTGCAATTTATAGCCCGTTATTTGAAGATTGTCCGGATAATGTGGATAAATTCTGTCGGAAAGTTAGCTACTCTATTTCCCCGCTGCATATCCTCTCCGCAAAGACAAATTGCGGGGGAATGGTTAAATAAGCTATGGACTCCTTTTGGCGGCATCCTGGATAATTGGGTAAATGTCAACCTGAAGAATAATAGTGGCAGATATAGAAAAAGGAAGTTGTGCTTGTGGTCTATGCTCTACCCAATGCCTCAGATCAATGCTATCTCCGCTCAAGCCGCGATAACATCCACGTGCACCCTGGGGCCTGCATGAAATCTTCAGGGGACTATTATTTTTCATTTAGAAACCGCATCAAATATTAGTGATAGGTTGATTGAGATTTACTCGGAGTTCTTGGTTTGAGTGTCGACGATCGGATGAGGATGTATAAACCTCAAGATTCTCAAGGTTGGGTACTGTTTAGCTTGAAGCATACTGGAATTGACAATTGTAAGATGATTGCGCTGCCTCATTGCAAGGATCATATTAATAGCTCTCAAAGGAAAGATATAGAAGTTCAAATAAAGTTCAAATCCCTGATGAAAAAAAGAATTATTCTAGGGAGTTACCCTGTCAAATCTATTGTTATATTCCAAGATGGTGGCTTCATATAGAGGAGTTAATAGGCTCAAATATGGTGAGGTCATGCGACGGATGTAACCCTACTTTGTACGCCGGAATGGGGATACACCCCTAATTTTACAGCTTCTAGATCTTCTAACTATGCATGAAAATATCCAGAAGAATTAAAACGAAAATAAACCGGTGAGACACAATCTGCATGGGATATCAAGGGAGAGAAAGGGGGCTTTATCTGTACAAGCATAGACCATCTGCGGTATAGGATTCAAACCAAGCTCGCGGGAAGTACTTACCTTTTTCCCCCGCAGATAAGCCTCTAAACAGCCCAAAAGACCGAATGCGGCCATCTCAGGGCGATCCTTGCCTGTTCAGCTAAATCTTTCCATGATGCGGAGAAACGTGGGGGTGATATTCATGCATGGGCGATGCAACATTCTCCTTATCTAGTAGAGAAAGGGATGTCACCTCGCTTTTGATAAGAGGAGGCTCGCAGCTGGAGCCTTAAAACTTCGAACTTTGACAGGTAGCGCACCGACTTGACCTTTCTATATTTCTTTGTCTATAACACCTCGGATACCAACATGTCGAGTTCAGCACGCGCATCGTCGCCTGATGGCACAGTGAAGAAAACGGACGCATTGGGCACTGCGGAAGAGCCCAACACGCTGAAAGGCTATGGCTCTGTCCCGGGTGTGATTGACGAGGTGACCCGAGTTGTCGACCACAAGGCTGAACGGCGTCTCTGTCGGAAGTTTGACTATCGCCTGCTCCCTATCCTAGCGGTTATGTGTAAGTTTGCTCGATTCTTGTCGGATATGCAGATAATTAACTAGCGATAGACCTATTCAATGCCCTAGACAAAGGAAATCTAGGAAATGCAGAAACTGATGGGATGAGCAAGGGTAGGTAAGATCCTCGATCCAAGTGGCAGATACTTGAAGACTAATTGAATTATTAGACCTAAATTTCAAGCCGAATGAGTACAATCTCCTGTTATCGATCTTCTTTGTTCCATTCGTGATCTTTGCACCGCCCTTCTCAATGCTTGGAAAGAAGTTCAGTCCAGCGCGCGTGCTTCCAATCCTGATGTTCTCATTTGGTTCGTTCACGATGCTCTCTTCGGCCGCCTACAATTTCAGTGGCATGTTCGCCTTGCGCTGGTTTCTGGGTATGTCTGAGGCTGCATTCTTCCCACTGGTCATCTACTACTTGACCACTTTCTACCGTCGCGGCGAGCTGGCTCGTCGCCTGGCTGTTTTCTACGCTGCATCCAACATCGCAAACGCTTTCTCTGGACTTATTGCGTTCGGAGTGTTCCAGATCAAGGGGTCTCATATCCCCAATTGGCGCTACCTATTCATTATCGAGGGCGGCGTCACTGTTCTCTTCGCTATATTTGCTTTCTTCTATCTTCCTCGGAGCGCTGCCGAGGCGAAGTTCCTGTCTGAGGAGGAGAAGGCGCTAGCTTTTCACCGAATTCAAGTCGACTCCAGTGCAGTGGTCAACGAGGAGTTTAGCTTCCGTGAGGCCCTTGGCATCTTCAAGCACCCCACTACTTACGTCTTCTTGTGCATTGAAATCTGTCTCGGTGTGCCTTTGCAGGGCGTCGCGCTCTTCTTGCCTCAAATCGTCGGGGGATTGGGTTATCCCACCGTCAAAACCAATCTATACACTGTTGCGCCAAATGTCACAGGAGCAGTGATGCTGCTGGTACTCGCCTTCTCCTCTGATTGGAGCAAACTGCGATCACCATTTATTGTTCTGGGCTTCCTCCTTACATTCTCCGGGTTCATGATCTATGCATCCATCGACGATGTGCAGGGTGACATCCAGGTAGCCTACTTCGCAACTTTCATGATGACTTGGGGAACGTCCGCGCCATCCGTTATGCTCAGCACCTGGTATAATAACAACATCGCCCACGAGGGTCGCCGTGTATTGTTGACAAGTATCGGCGTGCCATTGGCCAACTTGATGGGCTTGGTGAGCAGCAACTTGTTCCGGAAGCAAGATGCACCCAAGTATACGCCCGCGCTGATTAGCGTTGCTGCATTCGGTGCTACTGGTGCTTGCTTGACGGCTTCCCTAGCACTCTACATGTGGCTGGATAACAAGCGACGCGATCGTAGTGATGGAGTCAAGATTCGGGCACGGGATATTCCAACGGAGCGAATGAGAGATGGGCCGGCATCTGCTGAGTTCAGATGGTTTTTGTAAGAGGAAGGTCCAAATATCACGCCTGTATTTAATTAGTTGTGCGAAATGAATATTCGTCTGTCCATAAGCTTCGTGTGCCCTGATCTCGGTGGCATCTACAGCATGACTCATTTATGTTAGGGCCATTTACACAGGTACGTACCTAATCCCAAGATTAATTTCCAAAGACCATCATTGAATAGGCTAGGACCCCCGTCGTTTCAGAACGCCCTCTCTAGTATTTAAACTCGCTATTCTCCTCGAGTTCAATTAATCGCATCCAGCTGTTCGTTCACAGAACTCACCTATCACTCTCTACCATGGAACATTTCCGGCATACCGCTCATATCGGAACCCACTCCTTAAGTTACGCGTTGCGAGGCATTCCTCGGCATCCCGGTGCTCCGTTAGTGGTGGTACTCACCGGGATAACTAGCAGTTCTTTGGAATGGAGCGCAGTGTGTCGCCATCTCGAGCACGAGGCGTCCGTGCTTTTATATGAACGGACCGGCTACGGTCGAAGCGAGGCATGCTTAACAGCGGAGCCAGACTCCTTAACGATCGTCGACGAGCTATCTAGATTGCTGGTCGCTGCAGCACTTCCACCCCCGTACCTGGTGGTGGGCCATTCCTGGGGCGGGATTCTCGCACGGGAGTTCCTTGCTGCCCGCGGTCCTGAAGCTATCTGCGGGATGGTACTGGTGGATGCCGTTCAGGAACGTATGCTCTTCGAGACGTGGCCCGATCCCAGTATCGCCGCCGTCACGGCGGGACTTGACTACATGGAAGTTGTGGGATTGACCCGCGATCACCGACTAACTGAGTCCGAGTGGGCAGAGCTAATGGCTGAGGAGGCCAGTCCCCACCACGAGCGCCAGGCCGTCCGGGAGCTCCCCCATTTGCAGACCAGCCGCAGCGTCCTGGCCCAGAAGCAGCAACTTCGCCCTGGTCGGGACCTGCTGCACGGCAAGCCGCTGAGTGTGCTTCGCGGTAATTCTCTCCGTGACCAAGAGCGGATGTACCACCGGGGTGTGGCCCAGGGGTTGGGGACTGAGGCCCAGCGAGCGACATTTCGTGACTATCTAGCCCACTGGGACCACAGCGAGGAGGCTTTTCAGTGCGAACTACTGAATCTGTCGACCACAGCATGCTTCTCCACGACATCCCAGAGTGGTCATAATATTCAGCTCACCGAACCTGAACGAGTCGCTGACGAAATTCGGTGGGTCCTACAGCGGATTTCATCCGTCGCTGTCACCATCTGAGTGTTGATCTATATGTGCATGTATCTGTAACATGTCAGAAAATACACCAGTATTTGATACCATTCAATGGCAGCTCACTCCATGTTTTAAAAGTGAGGCAGTAGCTAGGACAGCCCATCGAGGATTCTTTGTCGACCAAATTTGTGGCCTAGTGTGCAAGGACGGCATAGAACAATCGAAGCTATATTGAACCAAAGAGTAACCGGTTGAGAATAATCATCTCAGTTAAAAATCCTTTTAATGCCTAACCCTGTACATATAAGTAAGGTGGTGTTGGCAGCCCTACCTGTGGATCTGGGTAGAGAAAGAATCCCGAAGCTACCTCGGGAAGGGAGGGCTTACATCTCCATCGATGTGGCTGAACATCCCTGCAACATTTATCTCTTGTAATTTTCACTTATGTGACCGATCTCACAATTATGAGCCATTGGGCCCGCAGTCTTCGCCCAAAGTAGCAACCGAATCGACAATCTTTCGATCAGATCTGATGTGTTGATTCCTTTCCAACACGCCCAACCCGAAGAAGAATAAGCGCAATCCATTATAATTCCCATCCAGCTCACCGCTGTTCGACCTGATATGCAACTGCCCCGCATCACGTGGATCAGGGTATATACATAAAACCATCTGGGCACGCTGTTTGTTGTACTCCCTACACTGATCTGATTTCAACATCTTCACTCCAACCCCATTTCGCATCCTATAAATAATGGCTTCAAATACCAGTCAAGTGTCACCTTTGCGGCCAGTCACACGACACATCACAGGTCACAATGAGAACGGGAAAGCAGTAATCCATTCCTCGACACCGGCTGAATGGGAATCACTCGAAGAAAGCAACATGGCATTCAACGTTGTTTATACGAACCAATTCCACCCTGATCTCAATAATGATGCAGACGTCAAGACCCACGAGACATTGAAAAAATCGGACCAGCTTGGCCTCGTGAACCCTGGTGGAAGCGTATGCCGCATTGTGGACTTCGCTCCCAACAACCTCGTTGTAGTTCACCGGACGCAAAGTCTCGACTACGGTGTGGTGCTCGAAGGGCAGGTGGAAATGATCTTAGAAGATAGTGAGCCAGTCATCATGAACCGAGGGGATGTTGCGGTACAGCGGGCTACGATGCATGGGTGGCGCAACACCAGCGAGACAGAATGGGCGCGTCTCCTGTTCGTGCTGCAGGATTGCAAGAAATTGACGGTGGGGGGGAAGGCACTGGGGGAAGATCTGGGAATTGCGGCTGGAGTACTGAAGCCGAGTGGAAATGATCAGAACTGAATGCTCTCACTTTTTGTTGGGATAATTTGACAATGAAATTCAATGATCTTCAGAGCTCCAACGCTCTATTGAACCTTGATGACTACCTTGCCAAAGTGGCTGCCGCTTTCCAGGAACTTGAATGCTTCTTTGGACTCGGCAAATGAAAAGACCCGGTTAACTACCGGGTGAACCTGATTTGTCTCATAGAAACGAATCATTTCCTCAAACCGATCTTTGGGACCGTTGATGATTCCTCTGAGTGTCACCGTTCGACGGAGAGTTAGCAGGTTGACATTCAGGCGGTCCTCATCGGCATCTATCTTGCCCGAGACATAACCAATGCAGTTGATCAATCCTCCGAAAGCGATGCAATCAAAACTCTTCCGCAAGGTTTTGGCACCGCCAACTTCCAAGACGATATCAACGCCGTGGTTCTCAGTGATCTTCATCACTTCGAGTTCCCAGTCGGGGTTGGTGCGGTAGTTGATCGTAAAATCAGCACCTAGCTCTTTAGCCTGGTCTAATTTGGTATCAGACGAGGAGGTGATAATAACTGTTTGTATGATCAGCGTTTTCGTCATATCAATGGTAATGAGTCTCATCCCATGACCCACCCTTTGCACCAGCAGCCTTTGCAATCTGCAGTCCGGCGATAGCCACACCACCAGTTCCCTGGAGCAAGACGTATTCGTCCTTTCCGCCGCTCTGCCCTATCGGTCGCATGCCATTGATAGACATCCACGCCGTAACTGAAGCGATGGGAAGCGTAGCCGCCTCCTCATCTGACATGAATCTAGGCGCTTTTACCAGGCCATAGTCAGGGAACACACGGTGAGTTGCAAGGACACCATCCTGCGGCAGTCCCAGGCTCTTGGCAAGTTCCTTCTCGGTCACCTGGCCGGTTTGATGATCGGGCAGGAAAGTTGAAAGCACCCGGTCGCCGACTGTCCACGTCGTCACTCCAGATCCAATTTGCGTCACTACCCCGCACATGTCCGAGCACGGCACGATGGTAGCGTCCTGTTCGGCGGTTTTGTGATGTTTATACTCGCCATTGGTCACTTTCAAAGACTCGGTCAGCATGCATCCTGCACGTATGTTTTCAGGTGATTTACCTTCCACGTCACGGTAGTTCAGAGATACAGCATGGATCTCTACCAATACTTCGTTCGGCCCTGGTGTGGGCATTGGAGCTTCGATCTGGCTAAGACGATCAATGCCCTTCAAGGGCGAGATCCATTGTTTAACGGCCATTTTTTCACGACTTTGGTTGAAGAACAGGCCCAATGGAAAAAGAACGCAATAAGTCAAAGACTGAAGCTGGTTATAAATCACGTTGGAGAAATTTGGAGATATGGATCCATCCTGATGGCCTTGGTGCTGAGTAATCGAGGTATTCGACCTCCAGATTCTCTTCAGGGCACCAGGGCTGCTCTCTCTCAGTCGATGATGAAGTGGATATCTCTAAATGCTGATCCTGACCATTTGGTCTTGTCGCACATAAGAGAACCGAAAGTCCGACATGCACAGTCCATGATATATTATGTAGCGGGCCTTATCTCCGCCAAACTCCGATGCCCAGATGGCCCTGTTTAATCATGCAATCTCCATTTTTCACTCCTTCACTTCTCCAACACTCACAACTCCTTTGAAAAATGAGCGACACAACACCTATAGTCCCGGAAGAGCATTCACATAAAACCCCAGGTCCGTAACTCTCCTATATATAGGTATTATCAAGCTAACTCATTCCCCGCAAGCTCACGTCCTCCACTCACCAGTTGCCCACGCCTCCCCACGTTTACCTCAAGCCATCGCCCACCGAGGATTCAAAGGCCAATATCCCGAGAACACTTTACTGTCAATCGATGGCGCAATTCGGGCCGGAGCTCACGCCCTCGAGCTTGACCTCCATATCTCCCGCGATGGGGTCGTAGTGTTATCCCATGTAGGTGCTTCTCCTACCATGCGATCTAGAACCATACTCATCCATCCAAGGACGCAAGCCTCATGCGCTGTTTCGGTATCAAGAAAAAGGTCACCGACTGCGACTGGGAGTATTTGAAAACTTTACGAACTCTCCAAGCCCCCCACGAACCGATGCCCCGGCTAGTCGATGTGTTGGAATACCTTAGACAACCGGGTCGGGAGAATCTCTGGATCTTACTAGACATAAAGGTAGCGAAGCTATTCTCCCCACCTGGCTCGTTGTCTCTTCCACCAGACTAACATCCAACCCTATTTCCCAGCTCACTAATGAACCCTTCGCTATTATGGACCGAATTGCCAAAGTCATCGAGTCGGTCCCTATGCCTGCGAGTGGCCCCGACTGGCACCACCGCGTCGTTCTCGGCTGCTGGTCTGCACGATACCTACCCGCGCGAGCAAAGCACTTGCCACAGTATCCATTGACGCTGATCTGTGTCGATTTGAGCTATGCGCGCCAATTCCTCCAAGTACCGCTTCTATCCTTCAACGTCAACCAGATGATCCTGATGGGTCCGCTCGGGCGAGGGTTTTTGGACGAAGCGCGCGCAGCCCGACGTAAAGTCTACGTTTGGACGGTGAATGCGCCGAATCTAATGCGCTGGTGTATCCGACACGAGGTCGACGGGGTCATCTCCGACGAGCCCGGTCGGTTCCGGCAGGTCTGTGAGGGGTGGGAGAAGGAACATACGGGTGTATTGGGGGTCCCGAATCCCAATTTAGATCGGATCCCGTTGAGACAACGGGTTGAAATCATTGCGGTGGCGCTTTATGTTATTTGCTTTGGATGGATCTTGAAGCGGATGTATCTTACTCCTGTTGAGCGACTCGAGTTCGAGGAGCACAAGTCGAAATAGTTGCATAGCATCGAACTGAAGGGGCGATGGCATATTAAAGGTTAATGATATATAATGAGGCATGATGTTTTCGGTTATTGATAAAAACTTGAAAAAATGACATTATGTCCATTAAACTTGTAAATCCTGCACAAGAGACAACCCACCAACCAAACACCGAGCCGATAGAGAGTATGTACATTAGAAACATTTCGGCATGAAGAAATCAACAAAATACACCCCGAATGATGACCCAAAAATCACAAGACCTGCCAATGGGGCGTTTTCAATGGATACAGATGAAGGATAGCCCGATGCAAGGGAAAAACAGACGATCAACGCCATTGCCAGCGAAAATCAAATGGGTGAGATAGCACAAAGGGTATATCGCGATATATAAAGGAATGAAGAAAGTGGGGAATGAAATCCGCGGGAGAGCGGAAAAGGGGAATGTGCAACTCAGGACTTTCCAAGGTTAACAGGAAAGAAGAGTTGAGGAAGACGATTTGTTCAAATCATCATAAGCTTAGTCGTCCGTCGTTCGGGGAACCGTCCTCCTCCACCAGGGGGGAATCGGGGACCGGGGTGGAGTCCAGGCCCGGGTCCAGGCCCAGGTCTTCCGCCATGTGGAGGGTACGGGCCCGGAGGAAATTGGCCGGACTTGGCCAGGGGAGACGAGGGTAGTGTGGGGCGGCGACGACCAGGAGGACCAGAAGGACCAGGAGGTGGTGGGTGGTAGGCAGCAGCGGCTCGACGAGCATCTCTTTCGCAGAAGACTTCGCCATTCCACTCGAAGTAGTCACCCTTGAGAAGGACGTGGCATGTACGACACTGCAAACATTGGGTATGGAATCGACGGCGATCTGGGCGTGCAGGGTTCCGCTCGACGGTCTCCAAGTAATGGCCCTCAATACCGGTGTGACAGCCGGCGCAAAGGGACCCGTTGCGCTCGTGGTAATGTTGCGCGCAGAAGGGTCTATTGTTGAGGACGTAGAAATCGGCTGTTTGGAAGGGAGAGTGGCACTCGAAACAAACGAAACAGCCACGGTGGTATCGACCTGTTAGACGGCCGTCCGAGGATGAGATCGATTTTCCTGTGATCGTCTCATTGCAACCCTTACACTTCCCCTTGGAACGTGTAGCGGACCGGGTTGGTGTTGTCGGTGTTTGTTGTTGTGGTAGGGGTGCTGTGAATGAGCGTTGTGGTGGCGGCTTTCGGGGGATAGATTGTTTTGGTTGTGCTGGGATCGGAGTCGGGGGTACTTCTTTCCTCTCTGCAATCAATGACACGCCACCTTGATTGATTGAAGGGTCGGTAGGTGAATCCGGGCTGAAGAAAGCAGCCGGGATGGGAGGGACATCCTCCATTGTGCTCCGTATACGGCCGGGTACTTCTACGATCGTCTGTCGGGTCCGGGCAGGCAGTTCTTCAACCAAGGGGCTTAGATTGAGCGGATCGGTGGGTTTGTGTCGGCTCAAGCTAGCATCAGAGGGAAGACTGGACATGGAACTACCACTGCGGGCATCGGAAGGCGATGAATCAGAACCAGAGCTTTCAGAGTTATTCATCTGGTCATCCAGACCGAGAGCCCGTGCAAAGCTAGTGACAGAAAATGCACTTGTCGTACTTGCGTTAGAGTCTTTCCTTGGCGCATCGCTGCCTGGCTCTGTTGCCGCTGTCGCAGGGTGGAGGTTCGCAGGGTTGTAAGCGGTGTATTTGGTATGATCCTGGAATTGAGCCGAAGAAGAATCCTCCGGGAGATCTTGTAGTCCAGTAGTCGGGCTTTGGCCTCCGGGAATACCGAAGTCAAATCCACTGGCTTCTTCCTTGCTAATGCGTGATGACACCACCGAGACGTTGGAATCACGGGGGAAAGAAGTATTATGGTTGGGTGTGCGAAGAGGTGCCAATGGCACTGGTGGTATGTCGTCCATAAATGACCGGAAACCCCGCGAAAGGCTGTTGGTCGACGACCTCGTTGTGGAACCGCCGTAGCGACTGCTGGCGAAAGACGTCCGGTAGCTGCTGTTGCTCACCGCTGATTCCCCCCTGTGATGATTCGTATCTGGGGACTTAGGTGGCAATGGGCTAGGTGGAAGGCGTATATTCTCTGGCATCACACCCTGCCCTTGTCCCGGCGACGAGACTGATGTTCGTGGTTTAAACGCAGTCCGATCTGTCATCATTGGACTTGGTGTCCTCACTTCAGTCGGTGATCTGTTACCAGGCATGGGGAATGAGAAGACCATATCATCGGTCAGACTGTGCGAAGACGGGCGCACCGTAGATGGAGGTGCCGGACTGGTAGGGAAAGGTGATAGATGGACACTGTTAGCTGGTGTCGGCATATTTGGCTGCAAGAATGCTCGATCTGTATATAGAGTTAGTCGCGGATCCCTTCAACTCCCCACATGGCGATTTGAGACATACTTGCAGCGGAGGGGTCTATGGCCGGGGGAGGGCCCCGGCCAACCTTTGCCTCTGTGAATCGGTCCGAATCGAATCCTGCCGACGGAGGCGGTGATGGAATAGGTGCTGGGGCTATAGAGTCAGCACGTAGACCTGGGGTGATTGAATAATTGAATCCTACCAAAATCATTCCGAATGCAAGTGTGATCTCCCATAGAAGAGATCTCGACATTGCACCCACAATTGGAGCATTTTATGGTGGGCAGGAAGCCCATATTCATTGAAGCCATCAAGGATTGTGAACATCGAATTCAGTCGGCCATATCCCCTTGAGATATGAGACTATTGAATCCAAAGGAAAGTTGAGAGAATTGTATGTTCAGTTGTGCCAGTGTCCCCGTGCTTTGTGCCACGGGAAAAACACACGCTAGTCTGGTTAGCGTCTCCAGTGTGGAAAGGGGGTGCGTAACTGTGTTCAGGGGTAGTTATCTACATTTATTATAGGTACGCATTAATATAATAGATATTATCTTTATATCATATTAACGACTATAAACTATTCTATATGATACACAGCACAGAGTACGTAGATAAATAGTTCTTCAGTCCTCGGTTGTCTCTATTATCTCTTCAATTCATCTCTCCTGACTCAGTGGATCCCCAAATATTCGGTGCACAGGGAAACTGCACATCAGAAAAAGAGATTCAGCTTGCAATGCGACTGGTCCGTACCTAGTGTCTGATCCTCCACCACCACCAATCACATTGCCCAAATGATGTTGTGAGGCTTGCAACCTTTGGAATCGTTCGATCAGTGGAGATCAAGGGGGTATCTCTCGATTTGGATTTTTGAATGGATTCTGACCCTACAAAAAAGCTTTCCTGACATACAACCCCTGATGAGCTCATGTGGCGATAAGTTCCCAAGGTTGTTATATTCTTGGAACACAGAAAAACAATCAACTCTGTTACTTTTCGCCCGTGCTGGCGATCCGCGGGGCCATATTCCCCTCCCCCTCCGAACCCGCTCCTATTACTGGCTACTGTCCTCCACTCAATGCCACAAGTCCTGCAAGACCCTGGAACTTGGTTGAAAGCAGAAGTACATCCTCCGTACGGAGTACGGAGTCCATTGTAGATACTTTTCTACCTTTTGGGTAGTTGCAAGAACTAACCCGCGAAGCCCGGGTGTTTTGAATCCTCACTGTTTGAAAATTCGTGAAACGGGTATAGTGACAATATCGGAATGAGACGAGATGGCACCCTGTACTCCGTATGGGGTTTCTGCTTGCGTGTGGGAAAGGGACGGGACGATCATCTGTCGCACCTGTGCCTCCACTGTAGACGCGGCCCAGGTTAGAGACATGCGAGACATGTTCTCCTCCTTTTTCTCGCTCTCCTACTTGCTTTGTTACTACACATAGTAACAGCTTCAACGCATGCCCCACGTCTCCCGAAGCTGTCGCTGGAGCGCATGGGTTGGCCAGCCGTGGAGTGTATCGGTTTGGATAAGCACTTGGATCAAATGGTCCTGTTCATGTGGGTCCGTGAAGCGATCGCCGCCTGTGACCCTGGTTAGCCTCATATTACTTGGAACATATTGACAATTTCTGCTGCTTACAGAGATGGATGGCCATACACCCGACAACCATGGCTGGGGGCACAGAGGCATTGGATAATGAAGCGCCACATACTTTCCAAACCCCCCTGCGGATATGGTCCTGAACCCGTTAGTCTTAGCCTGAGTACCTAATATAGATTGGAAAGTTGCTCAGACACTTACATCAGCCTCCTGGATCAAACGCCTGCGCAGAGGTCCAACCGTAGGCAAAGTTGGGTCATGCACAGAAAGCAGAATTTGGGCAAGATCGATATATTGATTACCGATTGCTATAGTCCCAAGCGATTAGCCTCGGTTCATATCCTAAACTGCAGGATACGTTTCCTGAAACATCACCCGATACGTACCATGCCAGGGACACCCGTAACGAATGTCGGTGAATTTAGTTCCCACCTCCCCGTCTCCACCCACAAAATATGGATCGAAAGAGTCCGGCCGAGTCTCACTCCATTGCTGGTTATATGCCTTAAGCTCTGCATGCGCAGCCGGTGAGCGAGGTCCTTCCCCGAAACAAAACACCAAAACGTGTGCGCAATGAGTGATTGCATGATTCGCCCACGCGCAATCACCTGCATCAGGGCCCAGCGAGTTGGAGTGGGAATTCCAGTCCAAGGACCTCAGCTCAATGTCTGGGGCTTGGTGGAGGCTAAGGGCATTGTAAATCTCCTGGCGTAGGCCACTCCAATAGACAGCCTGCCGTAAACTTGGGGTTGTTGTCATCAATGATGGAGACCGTATGAAAGCCTTTGTCCCGAAGGAGTGGCCTCGAATATCGGACCCGGCAAGTGGAACTATGATCATTGTCAGCAGGGTTCTTGACACATGTGGGAATGGATCTTATGCTAACCATCAAATTCTTCCAGCAAGCGTAGAATTACAGTAGCAGCCAACAAATCATCATCCATTGTAACACCGTGGTCATTCAACGCGGGGATCAACTTCTCCAGACATGCTTGGTAATAGCGGTCCGACACAAAAGGGTCAAAAGCTGTTGTGCGATTCAAATGACGAGCCGACATGGCCAATATTGCATTGAATAATGTCTCGCAGTGGCGTGCTCTGTAAGGGATATGGATAGCAAAATGTTGCTGGCGATCCGTGCAATCGAACTTGATATCGTACAATCAGACTACCGTTCGTCTTTCGAGAAAAAAAAAGGATCTGCACTTACGAAGCGTGCAACATTGTCTACAAAATGCTGCAATAAACGCGCCTCCTGGGGATCTCTCAGGGGCCATGGCCGCTGACTTGATCGTTCGGGTGTGCCCAATACCTGGGACGTTGGTGAAACAACACTACTTCTCGTTTGTAACTGGTAGTTTGGGAATCCATATTGCGGCAAAGGCGCGGCATGTGAGGACCCGGGAGACAGCCTTTCCGGCATAGGAATGGAGTCGGCAGGACTATGCAAACTCCCAGCAGGCGAGAGCACATTGGTTGCCGCCTCAGTCGAGCTATCCACTTGATCACTTCCGCTTTCGAGTACAAAGTCAACTAGCCAACAGTCTGATGTCAGATTAGATCTCAGCGGAATCGGGTAAAGAATCCAACCTCTAGGTGGTGGTTGAAGCCAAACTTGGTTGCTAGGAAACTTGGTGCGCGTCGTCCGACCCTTTGCCTGTCGAAACTTGGTTTCTTTTTTACCTCGAGTACATTCTCGACCAGTGCGAACGCATCGGCTGCATTGTGGCAAGATTCCGTCACCTATCGACAGTTAACGGAGAGCTGTTTCTAGGGGTTAAGCGGTATTACATTTATGGTGAAGGACACGGCATGGATCACTGAAATTAGTCAGATGTCAAGCCTTAGAAAAATCAAGGATCATTCAGGCCGTTGCTTACCAGCATTGGGGGTTCTTCGCACCGGGCATGGCGGAGATGTTGATTTTCTTCACCACTTGCGTCGGGGAAGTTCCCCACTGCGGGGGATTTAATCCGGTGCCACAATATCGATGGTGGCGATGATATAGTTACTTTGGAGATTATCTGATAACTAGCTGTTCTAAAAAATTTAAAAAAATTGTGTAGATACGCATATGTACGGGATAATATTTCTGCATGATAGGTATAAGCGTCATACAGCTACTTCCCCAACCCTTTCCTTGTTTCCAGATACCAGGAAGACTACTTCGAGAATTTTCGTGTATACTATGTTGTAGTAGCAGCAGTAGCTCTTGCGGTAGATTTATTCCAGAAGCAGGCCCATCTAAAGACAACATATAACTAACCAACTAGAACCTGAAAAACAATATATAACTAACTAGAACATGAAGAACAATACACTCCAGCCCACTCAAGAAATCCTAGGCCTTGTATTCCCAATAACTGTAGCAAAATCCCGCGACATTATTCGTAAACGCGTGACAATCTAAACTTCTTCTCTTGTCAAAGGCAACTCTTTATTTGCCGAGCGCGACCTTCCCGAAGAACGTGACCTTCTCGAAGAACGCGGTGGCTTCGTTGGTTGAGAAAGAACCTTCGATGGATGGAAAATACTCATCGCAATCATAGTAAAGAACATCAACGTTGAATCAAAGACATATAGGAACGCCTCGTGGCTGATGAGGTATCCACTGTTGCCCTGGGCGTATTCGATGAGTCGGAAAATCGACCGAATGAGAATCAGAATGCTGGCCACGTATAGCCCGGTCATGACAATTTCCCAAGTAGGCATTTGCAGTACTCCAGATGAGCGCCGTGGGGTGAAGCACTTCTCGGTGGGATTTTTGCGAATCCGGTAGTGAAAGATTGTTGAAGCTATGATGAAAACGCTGAAGAACACCAATTGCACGGCGAGACCGCCAATTGTGATATGTTCGCCGGTGGTCATTGCCGAAAGAGTTCCACTTGCCATGATACCTCCGCCTTATTCCTGGTTAGCTTTCATTGACCAGGACAGTTGTGTGGATGGAGTGGATTGGTTACCTGCTGCTTGCATCAAAAATGCAATCACGTCCCCCGAGACGAAAATTATGGTGAGCCATTTCACCGGCACCAGACTCAAGTTCTCAGCGTTTAAATGCACAATGAGGCGACCGAGAGTCATGTATATGGAGGCGGCATAGAGAGGAGGGGCAAGAAGGATCATAATAGTGCCAACCGAGTAAATCGGGATATTCTCTTTGTTGTCATGGGCTAGCGCGCGGCAAATGTAACCTATGATTTGAACTGTGAGGCATGTAAGTAACGCTGTGGACTCCCGTAGAGATCATGAGGGAACTGGTAAGCTCCGGCAATGAGACTAGGGCCAACTTACAGGCTCCACCGATGACGAAGACTATAAAGTACCAGGCTCGTGTACGAACGACCTGGTAAAGGTGATAGCAAGTTGCGAGCACAAACAGAACCGTGAAAATGATTGCAGCCACGAGAGAGGGCGTATAACGGTATAGTTTGAAGTCCACCCCTCCACCCGTGTTGGAAGCCATGATGAATGAGTGTAACCGAATACAACCAACTGTTAGGGTGATAGAGTATACTATGACAGAGAAACAATTCAAATGATTAAGGAGATTGTTCGAAATTGGTTGCCTTGAATGAGCGACTGTAGGAGTTAAGTAATTATCTGTTTCTGAGCCAGCTAGTACAGTATATATACTTAGCTTTGCCAGATCTTTTTAAGCGTCGTAACCGTATTCGGGGCAAAACAGAGACTGTTTTTTTTCCCTTTGTATCCATGGTACTAGATGCCAGTACCATGCAGCTTAATCGGTATTAAAATGCGACAAGGCCGTAATGGACCCACCCGTATTCGCATTGTTAGTTTAGCCAAGTTGCCATTCAGTTGGAGCGGGTCTTCTAATGTCCGTCTATGCAATCAGCCTCGCAATGTAAGTAGTTGCCTAAGGGTCTAAGCTCAACAACCATGGAAATGTTTTGAAGGGTTCGTTTTGCCGCTGACCCTCCCGTACTCGCTTCCATGTCGCGATATTCAGATAGATATCCGTCTAATACGAATCCATACGAATCCACCTAAATACTATTTTTATATTTAGTCTCAACTCCTGGTTTTTCTAGAAGTAGTATATAAGTCATGTCTACCAAAAATCTCCCCAAAGGTCCAGTGAAGCTAGAGCTTATGCACTCGGACTTAACATAGGCTCGATACTTTCCAAATTCTCTTGATCGCAACAATTATCAGGCCAATCATTTCGGAATGGAAGATAACATGGTTTCGATCCGTTCCGACGAAGCTGTTGCCTTCGCGTTTTATCGCTATGACCCCAGCATGGGCGGTGCTGTCCTTTTTACAATTCTTTTCATTGGCACAACCTTCTACCACATCTTCCAGATGTTCAAAACCAAGTCTTGGTTTTTTGTTCCCTTCGTGATAGGTGGTCTCTGTACGTGCAAGCTTGTTTTATATGCTTTTTATACTCATGCTAACAGAAGTAGTTGAGATTATCGGATATATAGGGCGTGCCATGTCAAGCAAACAAAGTCCGGATTGGACGCTAGGACCCTACATAGTGCAGACACTCTGTCTGCTTCTCGCCCCGGCTCTCTTAGCAGCCTCAATCTACATGTTGCTCGGTCGGATTATTCTGGTTCTGCAGGCAGAATCACATTCCATTTTGAAAAAGAAGTGGCTTACCAAGATCTTCGTGACCGGCGACGTGATGTCGTTTCTTCTACAAGGCGCTGGTATGTGTCCTCAAGATAAATGAAAGACGAAATTGGACTGTCTGACTGTATATCCAGGTGGTGGCATCCAGAGTAGTGGCTCCCTCGATGGCATGAAGACTGGCGAGCGCATTATCATCGTTGGTCTTTTTGTCCAAATCATATTCTTTGGCTTCTTCATTATTGTCGCTGGCCTATTTGACTGGAAGCTGCGCAAATATCCCATCCCACGCTGTTTCGATCAGGAGATCCCCTGGCGAAAATATCTCAACATTCTCTATGCGACTAGTGTGTTGATCCTGGTGCGCTCACTTTTTCGACTTGTGGAATACATCCAGGGCAACGACGGCTATATTTTGCGCCATGAAGTCTACTTGTATGTTTTTGACTCGCTGCTCATCTTCATTGCCATGGTTATCTTCAATATTGCCCATCCGTCTGCAATCACTCGATTTTTGACTGTGGTGCCGAATTACGAGTTGACTGGTACACCGAATGGGCGGACTATGAAGCCCGATGGAGTCTATCGTGGCGTGTGATCATCTTGTTCATTCTTCCTTTTTTTTTTGTAAAATATTTTGTGAAATACTTGTATATTATATGTCCATTTAATTCATGGGATCCAATTATTGAGATAGACGAGAAACAAGACGAGCTGCCGGTGTTGATATTATATTTACATATAGGTACTCCGTACTCCGTAGATGCATTTGAATAAGAATACGAGTGGGTCTACAAGATCTACCAAAAACTAAAAAATTTAAGCGCCTCTTGGACCATAGACACCCCTGGAGTTTATAATTCGAGTTCGAACTAGTTCTAGTCTAGTGTATACACTAAAAGCTAACATTCTAACTCCTTTATCCAATTGAAACAATTTGGTTATGCGTTATTGAAAAATCAATAGGGAACTGAATATCAGTGTCAAGGACTCCCATACTTATGTTTTGATCTGTAGAAGAATAACGTTTGAACATTTGAAGTTTTGTGGTTGACCGGAATGGGAAAAAAAGGTTTCTGTTGTCAATGCTTGAGAAAGTCTGCTTCGCCACTCCCATGCTACTTAGCCTAACAGAGAGGTAACTAGGCGCCAGTATTACATAAATCCTGCAAATCATGGATAACTAATTATTCGCCCCCTCAGAATTTTATATTACTCGAAGAATGTATGATCCGGCGTTTTCCGACACCTCCGCGCAGAACCCACGTGTTCTGAGAAGACATCGCATCCGCCACACCAAATCTCGTAATGGATGCTATCCTTGCAAACTTCGAAGAGTCAAGGTACAAATTGAGCCCTACCCCCCCCCCCCCCCCCCCGGGGTTATTCTTGTGAATCGGAAGCTGACCTCTTAAGTGTGATGAACTACAACCTGCCTGTAGCACATGCGCTTCCAGAGGTGAACCTTGCTCTTACCCCCCACCGCACGCCCCTTCGAAAAAACCCCCCAGATCTGGAAAGGCGACAGGGAACGAAGATGGCGGTCCCTTATCTGCTACATTCGTTCCATCAGCTGGAGCTCGTCCGCTCGACGTGACTTTTCCAGCAATTTTCTCGAGCCATAATAGCCACGCGCGTATGGACTTGCCAATGAATGATTTGAAGCTCCTTCAGTTTTTCAATTCCTACACTGCGAAACAAATGTCGCCGCATCCGAGGAGGGGTATGGTCTGGCAGCGGATCATCCCGGAAATTGCATGCAAAAATCGGTATTTGATGCACCTGCTCCTAGCACTAGGAGGCATCCACATGATTACGCAGCATGAGGCCAACTTGACTAGTGGCCTCGAAGAATTGGATACAGTGGACTTAGCAATAGTCATGGAACATCATCAAAGAGGACTGGAAGGTTTTAGGGAAGAAGTGTCCTGCATTTCTCCCTCTAACGCCGAGGAACTTTTTACTGGTTCTGTGCTTCTCGTTGCGTTTGCTTTTGCATCTCTCATGGTTCGGGAGCTCAATCCGCTTAGTGGGACACCCGAAGAGATGAATAGTACTACAGGAAATTCCTCTTCCGCAAATGACGTTTTACGTCTCAACTGGTTATACCTTAACAGAGGGGTAACTAGTATTCTATCTGATCAATGGAACGTGTTAAAAGGCTGTCGGCTCCGGCAGATGATGGTGTTCTCACAGCGCGACGGGCATTGGGAGGATTTACCATTTGCTCTACCATCGTCTCGACTTTCTCGTTGCTCACTCCGCCTAGTTAAATTTGCCGAAGGTGCCAGCCAAGCAGTCGCAAACATCAAGGCTTCTTTGCATACGCTTGAACCCGCCAGGGATTACTTATCCAGCTGCTCGGGTACGCCGACATCTTACGTTTCAGAGTCGCCTAAGACTCTAGACTCCGTTATGGATGCGCACTCTGAGACCGTAGACCTCCTGGATACGGTATATTCGCGCATTCTCTCCATATTACGGTGTGAGGCAACTGAAGATCCTGCTGACGTGGAAATCCAGTTGGATTTTGAAGAGGCGGCGGTTTTTGCCTGGCCGATCCGGCTTCCAAGTCCATTCTTGGCATCGCTTGAGACAGGCGAACCTAATTACCTTCGTGGACTCTCACTCGTCATTTTGGCTCATTTTTATTTGGCAAATACTCTATTTGATACCTGGTTTCTGAAGGGCGCCTTTGAAAGAGAGGTACTCAAAATCAGCACGCTTATCGGTTCCCTGAATGAGAGCCAATTGTCAACATTTATGCTATGGCCCAACGAGGTCGTGACTTCGACCTTGAGAGAAGTCACGACCTCGGGATGTACTCCTTGAACAATATGCCCGAGGCCAGTGAAGTATCTAATTTTATCGACAACCCTATCTTCTAGAAACACTATACACAAGCATAGCATAGATCGCGTGCCTCGTCAACCCTTGGTCCCAGTACCTGAAATCACAGGGACAACCCTGAGCCACATGGCGAACTACTGGTAGACACTGTTCGTAATTCTTCATTAGATCTTTTGCTAGATCACTTGCTTGATTAGTTGATTCGTAGCTCTGGCATATATATGCTTCCACTCCATCATTTACAGAAAAAATGCAACTTACATTGAGACACAGGTGTTAATACAAAACATCTCTGCCCCTCTATATGTATGCAGCTTGTGTGTTATGCTGACATTGATTTGTACCGGGGTTCAATAAACCTGTACCCCTTGCTGATATCTGTCATAGCTCGTCTTTATCTGAAACCCAAAATATCTTTGCTGATCGACACCTTGCTAAACTCGTACAACAATCTTGTGAGTCCGAGCCCGAGATTGGAATGCAATAAAACAACAAATATGCAAGGATCGGATTCAACTGACACACTTGCAGGGTTTCTGATTAATTTCAAAATGCTACCAAAGTTCTCCAACCTAATATCAAACTATCCTAGCACAACTTTATTCCAAACCCTCCATACACGCTATATGACACGTTTTCTTGGCCTCCGGGGCAGTCGCCTCAACCATGTAGCACTTATTGGCGTGGTTATGCCTGCAATAATGTCAATGGGTTATAACCAAGGATTACTAGGGGGAGTTCTCACTCTGCCCTGGTTCGAGGCCCAATTTCCTGAAATCGACGTGAGAAACGCCCAACCGTCAGAAAAGCATTACAGATCTACTTTGCAGGGTACTGTCGTAGCCTTGTATGCAGTAGGTGGTTTCTTGGGAGCCATCGCCTGCATTGCGCTGGGTGATTTGCTCGGACGTCGACGGGCTCTCATTCTCGCTTCAGTGATGGAAATGATCGGAGCTTTCCTCATGGCTAGTTCTTTTTCTTTTTCTCAGCTTGTGGTGTCACGAGTTATTCTAGGTCTGGGTACCGGCGCCCAACTAGCCACTGCGCCTATGTGGCAATCCGAGATATCACCAGCTACCAAGCGTGGTGCGCATGTTGCGAACGTAGGCATTTTCGCCGCCATGGGTCTTACGCTGGGGTTACTCGTCGATCTCGGGATGTCGTATGTCTCCAACAGTGCAAGCTGGCGTGTTCCAGTTGGTTTACCTATCATATTTGGCATAATTGTGATTGTGTTTACTTGTCAAATGCCTGAGTCACCCCGTTGGCTGGTCCGGCAGGGTCGGGTCTCTGCTGCGCGTGAGGTATTGGCAGCCCTAAGGGACACTGAAATCGACAGTGAAGTGGTCAATAAGGAGATCCTGGATGTAGAGTGTTCGCTGGCTATTGCTGGTAAAGGCACTCTGGGCCAAATCTTCCAAATGGGACATCAAAGAATCTTTCATCGCGCGTCTCTTGCGACAGGAGGATTGATGTTGTTACAATTGACAGGTGTCAACTCTATCACGTTCTACAGTACGTACACTGACTGATCTTTCAATTGCATCCAATGTCCCTCGCTTATAGATCCACCAGGTACGACGATTTTCCAAACCAACCTCCACCTTGACTCGACAACGTCAAGGATTCTGGCTGTGATCTATCAGTTTTGCGGTGTGCTTGGTGGCATTGTCTGCGTGTATACGATAGAGGGGTTTGGTCGTCGTCTCTTATGGTTGTCCAGTGCGACGGCCAACACAATTGCCATGTTCCTCGTGGCTGCGCTCAGTTCTCGGTCGACAAACACCACTGCCATGCACGCAGCTGTGGTATTCATTTTCATCTTCCACGTCAGTATGATTGTTGGGTTTGGTGGGATACCATTTCTCTATGCATCTGAAGTGGCACCACTCAGTCTGCGTACTACTATCAACGGTATCGGCTCTAGCCTATATTGGGCTCTGAGTGTACTGGTCGCGGAGGTCACACCAATCGCCTTCAATGCCATTGGATGGAAATACTTTCTCATCTTTGCCTGTCTAAACTTTGCGATGATACCGGTTATCTATTTGTTCTATCCGGAAACTGCAGGGCGGTCGCTGGAGGATATAGATGAGATATTTATTATGTCCACGGGTTGGTTAGACGCTGTTCGTGTGGCCAACCAGTTGCCTCGGAAATTAGATGGTGGCCAGCCCGAGGGAGATTGTCCGTTGGAGGACAAAGACAATGGATCGAAGGTTTGAGAGTATTTGTTTGTGAGAATAGAACTGTAGGTGGGGTTTGTAGGAATACTTGGTCAACAAAATTGGGGAATACTATGGAGGTCTCCATGAATTGCAGATATGATTTATTTTAATAGAAGACTGCACTATATTTTCGCAAATGAACAGCAATTAAAATGCCCATTGAACAACGACAGGGGCATAACGCAGCGCCTACAAGGACTAATTCTCTGATATTGCCTCGACGTCTTTCAGGGTTGGAACCTTGGAAATTGTGTCAAGTTTAACCCTAGAGGTTATGGGTACCAAGGTCCTGAGCTCCCAAAATTGACATGTGTTGTTTACTTTGTACTTTTGTAAGATTCATTTTTGTGTAAGCGAATAATAAGCGAATAATAGCTAACAACAGCTAATAAATCGGAATCTAAAGCAAAATCCCTGCCAAGCGTCGAGTGGGCTGACCGCCATTCTGCCCCGCGGATACCCCTCTGATGTGCAGCACGGTCCAACCAAGGGCTCGTGGCCTGATGTATATCAGGGTATGCTGTGAGTTCAATTGCACTTGCAATTGCAATTGCTTCATGTGGAAATAATTTAGATATCACAAATGCAGAATCTCCGAAATAGGTCACCGGTTCGTGTTCGAAAATGAATCTAGAGCCAGGCACCAGGGAAACAGAACCTAGTGGAAGCCGGAAGCGGAGCCCCAGAGGGTATTCGGCACCAAAAAAAAAAGAAATGGAGATTTATGAATTGGGGTGTGCTAAACTGCTGATCATAATGCATTAGCTGTGTACCTGAGAAGGTTAGCACAGATTACTATATGGAGTACTGTACAAAGGAGTGTGCTTATACTTTAGATGCAGGAACACCGAAAGATGGACTGTAACTGCGGTATCGGCTACATCAGAATAGACGGTGAGGTATTACAAAATTATAACCAATAATAAGATTAATGCCAACAAATAATTCGAAGCTAAAAGGAGGAAAAAAAAAAAAGAAGAAAAAGAAAAGGGGAAGTTCGGGGGACTGGAGACCGGTGGACCAAGCCCCCGGAGATAGGCGGAGTGACATAAAGTCGCCCTCCTGCCACTTCCTCTTCCTCTTCCTCTCCTTCTTCTTATCCTCAATCCTTATTACTCCTTGTCCGTTTATTTAGGTTCGTATAAACCTTGTCAGCAGGTCAGATCACTTCTCGTCGAGACAGTGGTCACATACAACCGCCACAATTTTCGCGACAAGTCTTAACTCGTGAGTTTCCCCATTACCGATAGATCGAGACATGATCATACAGAAGTGCAATTGCTAACTGTTCCCCAGGCGGCACCACCCGTTCAACGGCCGACGCTCATCCAACCGTGGAGGAGCATCGGACTGCGCACCCTTTATCCGTTAAAGCTACGCGATCACACACACTATCATCAATTCGCCTATTCATCCCGCTGTGAACGCAATGGCTCCTCACGCTAGCTCGGATGCTGCCAATGGCGCGCTGAACGGGTCGGTTCGCCAAGAATCTTCCCTCTTTACTGTCCAGTCCCCCAATGTCGTCTATACCGATGACGAAATCAAGTCGAAGTACGCCTATCAGACTACTGAGATCACCCGCACCGCGGACAACAAATTGGTTGCCACTCCCAAGGCCACCAACTACAACTTCAAGGTCAACCGCAAGGTTGGCAAGGTCGGCATGATGCTGGTCGGTTGGGGTGGAAACAACGGTTCCACCGTGACCGCTGGTATCTTGGCCAACCGTCGTAACCTCTCCTGGGAGACCCGCGATGGCAAGCAGACCTCCAACTACTACGGTTCTATTGTCATGAGCTCCACTGTCAAGTTGGGCTCGGATGCTAAGACCGGAGAGGATATCAACATCCCCTTCCACGATCTGCTCCCCATGGTCCACCCTAACGATCTGGCCATTGGCGGTTGGGATATCAGCAGCTTGAACCTCGCCGAGTCCATGGACCGTGCTCAGGTGCTGGAGCCCACCCTCAAGAACCAAGTCCGCAAGGAGATGGTCGAGATGAAGCCGCTGCCTAGTATCTACTACCCCGACTTCATCGCTGCCAACCAGGAGGACCGTGCCGACAACGTCATCGAGGGTGACAAGGCTTGCTGGGCTCATGTTGAGCAGATCCAGAAGGATATTCGCGACTTCAAGGCCCAGAACGGCTTGGATAAGGTGATTATCATGTGGACTGCCAACACCGAGCGGTACGCCGACATCATCCCCGGTGTCAACGACACTGCCGACAACCTGATCAACTCGATCAAGGCCGGTCACCTTGAGGTTGCTCCTTCCACCGTGTTCGCTGTGGCTGCCATCCTCGAGGACACTCCGTTCATCAATGGCTCCCCCCAGAACACCTTTGTCCCCGGTGCCCTTCAGTTGGCCGAGCAGCGTCGTGCTTTCATTGGCGGTGACGACTTCAAGTCTGGCCAGACCAAGATGAAGTCGGCCCTCGTTGACTTCCTGATCAACGCTGGTATCAAGCTCACCTCCATTGCCAGTTACAACCACTTGGGTAACAACGACGGCAAGAACCTGAGCTCCCAGAAGCAGTTCCGCTCCAAGGAGATCTCCAAGTCCAACGTTGTGGACGACATGGTCGCGGCCAACCACATTCTCTACGAGAAGGATGAGCACCCCGACCACACTGTCGTCATCAAGTACATGCCTGCTGTCGGTGACAACAAGCGTGCTCTGGATGAGTACTACGCCGAGATCTTCATGGGTGGCCACCAGACCATCAGCTTGTTCAACATCTGTGAGGATTCGCTTCTGGCCTCGCCCCTGATCATTGATCTGATTGTGCTCGCCGAGATGATGACCCGTATCAGCTGGCAGTCTGACAGCGAGGGTGAAGACTACAGGGGCTTCCACAGCGTCCTGAGCATTCTCAGCTACATGCTCAAGGCTCCCCTGACCCCTCCTGGTACCCCGGTCGTCAACGCCCTGGGCAAGCAGCGTTCCGCTCTTATCAACATCTTCCGTGCTTGTGTTGGTCTCCAGCCCGAGTCGGAGATGACCCTGGAGCACAAGCTGTTCTAAAGGACGTTGTCCATGCTTCCCTAGTTTGATCATCTTTACACGCTAACTACAGTCACTCGTTTAACAATACAAACCTAAATTGCTACAACCATACACCCTATTCATAATGCCGTAGATAACATGTAAGTGTCTTCTCATTCTCTAAATACATGCATGTCTCTATTCATTTCTCTATTCGTTGGTCCGACCAAGCTCGGAGTAAGCATTCAAAGCCAACTGTCCACCGAGGTGCGCATACAAGATATTCCCACCCTTGATCTCCCCACGACGGATCATATCCATCATACCCGCAAAGCTCTTCCCCTCATAGACGGGGTCCGTGATAAACGCCTCCATCTTCGCCGCATATTCAATCGCATCCCAAGTCTGACGATCAGGAACACCATAAATACCAGCATGGTACCGCTCATCAAGAATAACATCCTCCTCGGTAATATCATCCTCACCAAGCCCAATCTTCGCAGCGGTATTCTTCGCAATGCGCAAAACCTGCGCCTTCGTCGCCTCAACAGTCGCAGAAGCATCAATCCCAATAACCTTCCTCTTCGCATCCTCGGGATACAACTTCTCCAGCAACTTAAACCCAGCAATCATCCCCGCAAAAGTCGACCCAGTAACAGCACAAACGAGAACCGTATCAAAGAAAACCCCCATCTCCGCCTCCTGCTGCCGAACCTCAAACGCCCACCGCGCAAACCCAAGTCCACCCAGCGGATGATCCGACGCACCAGCAGGAATATAGTATGGCTTTTCACCGTCCACCTTAGCCTGCTCAACAACGGCGGCCGCGGTATTCTTATGCTCGATCCCGAATCCAGACGGGTCGAGCCGCACATCCGCGCCCATCAGTCGCGACAGCTGGATATTGCCCGTGCTCTCGTAGCCGGGGTCGGTCCAGTCGACCCAGTGCTCCTGCACCAGACGGGCTTTCAGTCCGGAGCGCGCGGCGACGGCCGCGACTTGGCGCGTGTGGTTGCTTTGCACGCCGCCGATGGAGACGAGGGTCGTGCAGCCCTGCGCTTGGGCGTCGGCGAGCAGGTACTCGAGTTTGCGGGTTTTGTTGCCGCCATAGGCGTAGGCGGAGTTTAGGTCGTCGCGTTTGGCGTAGATGGTTACGTGTGGGTGGGGGTTGTTTTTGGCGAGATCGGCGGTTATGCGGGGGAGGGGGTGGATTGGTGAGGGGCCTAGCAGGAGGGGGGTTCGGGGGATTGTGGAGAAGGGGGCTGGTAGGGGGACCGGGTTTAGGTCTGTTGGCTTTGGGGATGTCATGGTGGGTTGGAGAGTATGGAGTGTCGGGATGGTATAGTTGTGGTTTGGTGGGGAGATTGGCTCTGAGGTATAGAACAAGTAGAAGTGATAGATTGGATGTAGAGAAGATTTGGAACAAGTTGATTCAATACACCATATCGTGAACTATATACCCCCTCCTAGATGTCGCCGCGGGCATCGCCGCGGCGAACGGAGTTGGAGTATGATAACAGAAAGATGCCCCTCCTAGACCCATCGGCACCTTAATCATGCTACATGTAGGAAATATACCACCTATCATAGGCCGCCAGCGACATTATTCCGAAGTAGAACCGAGATTTCCGTCTTTATCAATAGCTCGTTGGTGCGGACATGGTGGGGGGTTCTCGGACACTCGCCGGCAGAGTATACACTGCGCGGTATCTTTGATTCTGTTCCGCAGCGACTGATATGATTGAAGAGATTATATTTGGTGTTTAGTCCTTGAGATCTACTCATATAGAGAAGAAGGGAGAAAGTATTATCAGGCATCAACATTCGCGAGGTTTAGAGCGAAAGACTCTAATGCTATGATTATGTGATTTGAATCACCTATCAATTGATCTACGACACCGCCGTGTTCATATAACATCATCCTAAGATTCGCATTGGTTCGACAGCTTTAAGCATATCACTGCCGTTGACAACCTATTGAGCTGATATCATTGTTTACATATCTCCAGAGGTCACCCGCAAGGTGGCGCGGGGGTTGAGGACCTTGAAGACAGCCTTAGCCTTACAAAGGAGCGTGGCCATCGCACGAATTCTACTGTTATATAGAAAATATTTGAATCCAAGAAATAATTAAAGTCATACTTCACATCAGTTATTTTTTATCGGCAAAATATTGCATCTATTGCATGTCGACGACGCAACGGACACAGTCACCCTCCTTCATCTGATCGAAGGCGGTGTTGATACCGTCCAGCGACTGGCGGTGAGTGATGAACTCGTCCACCTTGAGCTCGCCGTTGAGGTAGTCGTCGACGAGACCAGGCAGTTGTGTGCGACCCTTGATACCACCAAAGGCACATCCCTTCCAGACACGACCAGTGACGAGTTGGAATGCTGTGACATGTATTAGACAAGGAGAATATACAATAGGAAGTGAGGAACGATGGGGCTAACTTACGGCGAGTGGCGATCTCCTGACCAGCAGCAGCGACACCGATGACAATGCTCTCACCCCAGCCCTTGTGGCAGGCCTCGAGGGCAGCGCGCATAACACCCACGTTGCCAGTGCAGTCGAAGGTGTAGTCACAGCCGCCATCAGTCATCTCAATCAGGTGCTCCTGGATGGTCTTTCCGGAGAGCTTGGTGGGGTTAACGAAGTGGGTAGCGCCGAACTTGCGAGCCCAGGCCTCTTTACCGTCGTTGACATCGACGGCAATGATCATACCAGCCTTGTTCTTGACCGCACCCTGCACAACGGACAGACCAACACAGCCGACACCGAAGACGGCGACGTTGGAGCCCTCCTCGACCTTGGCAGTCACGACAGCAGCACCGTAACCGGTGGTGATACCGCAACCGAGCAGACAGGATCGATCGGTGGGGATCTTAGGGGTGACAGCGACGACCGAGATATCGGCAACGACGGTGTACTGTGAGAAGGTGGAAGTACCCATGAAGTGCAGGAGGTCCTTGCCGCGGGCCTTGAAGCGGGAGGTACCATCGGGCATAACACCCTTACCCTGGGTAGCACGGATCTTACCACAGAGGTTGGTCTTGCCAGACTTGCAGAACTTGCATTCACGGCATTCGGGAGTGCTACAATTGTCAGTGGATTGTGATGCCGAGATCGGAGCCGAAAACGTACTAAAGAGCGACGACGTAGTCGCCAACCTTAACGGAGGTCACGCCCTCGCCGATGGACTCGACAATACCGGCACCCTCGTGACCGAGGACAACGGGGAAAGCACCCTCGGGATCCTTGCCGGAAAGAGTGTAGGCATCTGAGACATGTCAATAATTGTTGCGATAGGTCAGGTTTTCCTCGGTATTGCGTTTGTTTTTCCGTGCAGATGGCGGGGCAGATGGCGGGGCTTACCGGTATGGCAGACACCGGTGTGGTGGATTTTAATGCGCACCTCACCAGCCTTGGGGGGAGCAACCTCGATGTCCTCAATAGACAGAGGCGCGCCGGCCTCCCAGGCGATGGCAGCCTGTCAATTGTTCAGCACTGTTTCATGACTCACAAATGCGAGCTGTGCCGGTCGACGTCATTTGTGCGGGGTGGTCGGATCGAGCTTACCTTGCAAGTGATTGTCTGTAGATTTCCGAAGTCAGCAAAGTTAGTCTTAAAAAAAAGAGAGAATAGTAATTTACCTGTCCTACTGTGCTGGCCATTGTGTATGTTGATCTTTAAACTAGAACACTGTTAGCAAGTCTAGAAATGCCAAGGGAAAAAAATAACTCACAAGAATATGGTGGAAGAAGAAGAGAAGGGGAAATGACGAGGCTTTTGAAGGGTGGGGGGTGGACCCGGGTATGAGGGGGGAAAGATAAAGGCATCTTCAGAGTTGGAGATCCGGACAGCTTCTAACTCCCCTCATATGATTGCCAAATTCTCCCCACTTGGAGAAATTCAGTAAGATAAGCCATTTCCCGTTCAAATAGAAATATACGTGATCGGGAGTGCTTCCGAGCTCCGCGGGGAAAATCTTATAGGGGTATACATACCCTATATGCTCACCTGGGTAGCACTATGTTGTACAGATATACAAGGTAAGCACTATCTATAGCCCCAGAGGTATAATCAACTAGGCGAAGTGCTTGATGTTTCTTTTTTTTTCATGATTTGATCTCAAGACTAATAATGTCAGGGCAAACACAGCATGAAAACAGCATATCGCCGAATTCGGAAATCTTCATTAGTCGCAGAACACTCGTTATATCCACCATATCCGACAGCTCCCAGCACCGATAATGGGAGGTATATTGTTAAATCGAGAGCAGACCGAATGGACTCATAACGGTAGCAAATATCAGACAGACCTCAACTCCGAGTTTGTATGCCAAACCCTCCCCCCGGCTCAAAAAGGAAAACGAATGCGCGCCCTCCGGGTTCACGATCGCAAAGTTTCAAGTTTCTTGAGGATGGCAAGCGATAGATATCGAGCTAAGGAGAGAAAGATAACCCAAGTTAAGCTCTATTTTGCAAACCTGTTCAACGTACATGGTCACATCTTCCTTGATTTGGTTAAGTCTTTTTTGTATTTTGAGCCCCGGGAGAGGAGAGGTAGATATCTCCCGTGCTAGTCACTATGGTACACGGAAAGGAGCCGATCCTGCCTGCTTCCTCGCCAATAGGTCATCGACCACGCTGTCATCCATCTAAACCTCCATGTAAAGCCACTGTCGGGCCGGAGACAACCGGGTCGATGGAGCCGCCTCGCCAATCACCCAATTCATCGAATGCATGCCAAAACAGAAAATAGTCATCGACAATATGTTTCTTATTATCAAAATAGACCTTTAGTTGCCTCCCATAGAGCCACTCTGCATCATTGCAGCGTTCTGCTCCTGGAAGCGCTCGTTCAACCGGGCGGAGCTCTTGAGGTTCTTGTCAACACAGCGCATGATGCAAGTCTCCTCGCGGTTAATGAGGGACTTGGTGGTGAAGTCGTTGACACAGTCATCGAAGCAGCGCTGGACCATCTTGGAGTACATCTGAAAGAAAGAACGTTAGATCTTGATCATGGCAGAAGACAGGTGGTTGATGGTAAACATGGAATCACGGGCAAGGGGATAGGCGCAAAGTTGAGTCATCGACGAGGAAGTTAGGAGGTACATACAGTCATGAATTCCTTCATCTGCTTCCGCTCCATGCGGGAAGCGAACTCGCGCTGTTCCGATGCGTTAAGTCTGTGACTTCAGTATTAGCGGTTTGCTCAGTGAATGATCCAGAGGAACAATGGGATAGAAAACACGACAGAAAAGTGAAGAGTGTCCAAAGGATGTACTTACCCTTCCATTGTGATAGATGAATGATACCAAGATGTTTTGATAGTAAGATGCTTTCCACAAGTCTCCTGCCAGCTGCCAGCTCCGCTGGTTCTGAGCTTCTCGGGTGCCGGAGAAATATTAGCCCACGCGACTCAAAATATTGTGCCTTAGGTACCAGGCCACCACGTAATCAACATCGTGTGTCTATTAGTTGTATAGCCCATATGACCTTTGATTTAATATTCTTTTAGTTTATATAACATCTTGGACAGTGAGGAATCAAACTTTATAGTAATAAGAGTATCAGATAGGTGAGTGTATTGTACTGATGCTTTATTAGCTCTACCTACTCTAGGACAGGAGGGTTTATCCGATCGGAGAAACATACTTATAATCGGAGAAATATGCCAAAGTCAGAAGAGCTTGTCCACGTGATATCTCAACGTCGCAAATATTTCCTCAACCTCACTTCATGACGCTATGAACAGCTAATCCCACCTCACTGACCTTTTACACGTAGTTAAACGGGTTTGTGCCCGTGGGTAGACAGTTACAGCCGGGGCCTAAAAAATCTTCTTTCTTTTAACTATGTTATTTACACTTTTGACTAATACAGATGGCGTGTAAGATGTCAAAACCTACATGTAGAACATGCGTCCCAAAATGGGCTCTAAAAAGGATCGAAATAATGCCAAAGACTCAAAAGTCAGTAGGAGATCTTCACGTCTTTCGAGAGACGATCTACTCTGTACCCGAGACATATTTTCCCGCAATGGACCAAGTGGCAATGTATATCCTCTAACTGAACAGATAACCTTGGAATCAGTATACTTCGTCCACTTCATTGGTCATGGGGTTAACCCAAATCCAAGTGATTTGAAGAACCAGAAAAAATTAACATCGGTACCTGGTCCGGAAGATATGAAACCCGATATAAGCGACTGATCTCCAAAAAAATGCCCCTAAAAGGGTCCAGACACGTTCCAGACAACCCAGGACCCGTTGGTTCCAGACTATCATAGTACTCTAGTACTCCAAGGTGGGGGCAGTTCTTCACATTTTGTTCAAATTCTAGAAATTCCAAAAATTGGGCTAGTAGGAGATCTATATTGTGCTCCGTGTAGGTAGTTCCATGTAGCAAATGAGAGATCCCAATCCAAAATCACCCCTGTAGCATTGTGTACCTGTACGTACTCCGTACATTGATCCAATTTAATCTATATGACAGGCGGCCCTGACCCATCTTTAACTTGTCCCGGGAACCTTGGGTCTCTAAATTGAGCTATTCATAGTCTCATGTTCTCAGAAAGAAACTTCCCCTTAACAGATAATAATCTCTGTCATATGTGTTCGGCTCTTGGCTCGTGCCCCCTCCCCCAACTCATTGACCCTTTCGAAACTCTGACCTTTTCGCCCTTTCGCATCCCTTCATCCATCAGACTCACACACTCACATCACCCTCCTTTTCTTCCCATCCTCTTTGTTCTCGGTTTCTTGGTCTCGAATCTTATCTCTGCTCTTGCTTTGCCTCGGAAACGTGCCTGTGCTATTTTGGGCCCAGCCCCAGGATTTCCCACACGAGGGCGGTGACGCAGGGCCCCTTCAACTTTCCCGAATCCCTCGATCGACACACCCACTTCTCTGCGCCTCTCCGCTTCTTAGTACCTTTGATTCCATCTCGAGTCGCCCTCCGGACTCGCCATGGTGACGGTCGGCAAGTCGCACCCGGGCGCTGACCCCGTTCACACTCTCCCCACCTCACCCGATCCGGTCGGCTCCAACTCCCCGCCATCGAAGCGAGATTTAGCTTCATGGTGGAAGCAGTTCAAACGAAGCACCAGAAAAGACGAATTGAAAGGTAAGCCATATTTGGTAAATGCGACATGAAAACACGGGCGATCGCGTAAATGTTTCCTGGGGCACTCCGGCTCGCGGCGGTTCGCAACATCCCCTGAGCCTTGGGGTATACTTTCCTTGTCGCACAGGAGATGATTGCTGCAGTTCACCATGTCGGAGCCGGGGACTTTGCTCGCTCTTCAATTGATTTGTTTGGTTTCCTCGTTTTCTCGAACTGGTATGCTAACCCGTTTGTCGCAGAGGAGGCACCCCGCGGCATCTTCGGGATTCCGCTCAATGTCAGCATCAAGTATGCTAATGTGGCAATCTCCTTAACCAACGATCATGGCGAGAGCTTCATTTATGGATACGTGCCTATTGTTGTTGCAAAGTGTGGAGTTTTCCTAAAAGAAAAGGGTTAGCATTCACCTTACTATACTCGATGAGTTGTCGCTGACCTTTTTTTTGGAACAGCAACGGATGTGGAGGGCATATTTCGTCTTAACGGGTCAGCCAAACGTATTAAAGACCTGCAGGAGGTCTTCGATTCCCCCGAGCGATATGGCAAAGGACTCGACTGGTCCGGCTACACCGTCCACGATGCAGCAAACGTACTTCGCCGATACCTAAACCAGCTTCCCGAACCCATCGTGCCATTGGAGTTTTATGAGCGCTTCCGTGAACCTCTGCGTATCTACCAGCGACAAGTCCTAGAAGGAAAGGACACAAACGATGCCGATAAGTTCGACCATGCAAAGGCTGTCGAGACATACCAGAACCTCATCATCGAGCTGCCCCCATTGAACAAGCAGCTGCTCCTCTATATCCTCGATCTTCTCGCGGTTTTCGCCTCAAAGTCCGATCAGAATCGCATGCCGTCGGCCAATCTGTCTGCGATCTTTCAACCGGGCATGCTGTCTCACCCCCAGCATGATATGTCACCGGAGGAATACAAATTGAGTCAGGATGTGTTGATCTTCTTGATCGAGAATCAGGATCACTTCCTGTTCGGAATGAGCGGCACGGCTGCCGATGAGCAGACCATGAAAGAGGTCGAGGCAGGGATTCCACGACCCGCAACTCACCCGACCGTTCGACGATCGGTATCCAACGCCAGTGCGAACACGGAAAGCCATCGCAAGTTGGACAGTATCCGACGAAATGTTTCCGTTTCATCGCGCAACTCCCGCCATTCTAACAACGCTCAAAGCCCTGTAACTCCCACCTCAACCACCGGCGGCGGCGGTGGTGGTGTCCACCGAAGCAACACTCTGCCCTCAAAGATGGGTCCAGTCTTGACCTCTGCCCGTTATGCACGAGCCAACGACGCTGGATCGAACAATCCTTCCGGCCTATCTGTTTCTCATCAGAGTTCTCGATCGACTAGTCGAACGCCGTCAGTGCGCGAAGAGCCCGAGCAGCCCCCGCCGATCCCTGAGTCGATTTCTCATCCGGCCCCTCAACCAGTCCCTGAACCGACTTCCGAGCAACGTCCTGAGCAGCGGACCCCTGGTCAATCGACGGCCTCGTTGACTCCAGGCAACATCTATGTGCACACGTCAACCCATGGCCCATTGCCTCCGGCCACTGCTGAGCGTCTTAGCCTCAGCGAAATTGCCAGGCCGCAAGAAAATATCAACACCGCGGTCGCCTCACCCCCGGTCGCCCCACCCCCACATGTTGTCACCCCGAGCCGTGAGCGCAAACTTTCAAATTTCTTCACGAAGTCACCACCCACTGATAGTGAACTGAGAGAACCCCGTCAGCCGAATCGCTTGAAGAAGAAGCGCATTCCTGGTAGTGCAAGCATAAGCGCACAAAGCTCGGCTAATTCACTCCATGCCTTGAGTGTAGATCCTAGTGCGGATCTCGAACCTAAGCACGAAACCCGATCTGCGGAAGCTGTTGTTGGTGACACCACTCCCAGACCACCAAACGCTGCCACACTCGGCAACCGAGAGAACCCTTTCGACTCGAACTCGGCTCTCGTAGAGGGTACTTCGCAACCTCACACTGACCACACTTTGCGACCTCACAAGTCGCGCACGCCCTCCATGAACTCGCGTTCATCATTCACTGATCACTCTGATATGGATCAGCCTGAAGATGTCGCTCGCAGCGAAAATCGTCGTAGTTGGCGGTTCCATCGGTCCTCCAAACGCACCGGTGAACAACTCGGACTAGGTTTCGCGTCTCCACCCCTAGTAGCGACGAATCCCCGAGCTGAGCAAAGCACCAGTTCATTCGGTAGCGGTCACTATCAAAGCACGGACCTCTCTAATCACCCACTGAGCTTGGATGCTGGCATTCAAGGCACCACTTCCTCCATAGGATCAGAGCCCGAGAAGAAGAGTTTGTTCGGAAAGTTCAAGGCCAAGGTCGCTCAAGTTCGGGATGGAGTTAAGGATGATCGTGAGCGCACAATGAGCCCCACCCGGTCAGAGCATGACCCTTCCCCCACCAACCAGCCTCTTGCTCCCATTACTACGGAGCCGACAAATGGCAATCCTGTCTCAGTCGAAGTCCCACGTGAACAGCCCAAGGAAGAGCATATGCGTTCGCCTGTGTCTCCCTTGCCTGGCGCTGGTTTTCCTCCATCTATTCCCGAAGAGCCGCATAGCCCCGAGGCGACTGTGGCTGTGCCTGTCGAACAGAAGGAGTCTGCTCAGCTGCCCGCAACCGAGTCCATGTTGGCACCAGAGCCAACAGTGTCCCAAGAAACCCCGAAAGAGACCGCAGGACCGCCCACCTCGGCTGCTTGATCTCCTTCAAACTGTTCTCACAAAGTGTTTCCATTCTTCCGCTTCTATTATTATCACGATTGCTCTTCCGTCGATTACACCTTTATCTTCTATCCAGTTGTGCAGGATTCGTTTGACCGTTCGGGAGGGTATGGCTTATTCACGGAGCATTGGCGTCACCTGGGGCGTTGGATGATGTTGTTTCTCTCATCTTATTTTCGTTCGTGATGAATGGGCTTTGCCCTCGTATTCGTGCTCTTGTTGCTCTCTCGTCCCTTTGCTGTCCATTGGATGGTGTGTTTCCCCTTCGAGTTGCCTTTGAATGACCCCCATGTATTCTTTATCCCGTTGCTCTCACCCACCCCCGTCTTCTCGCAATGGTCCTAAGCTTTCTTCATATTATTATTATTAGCCCGTTTGCGGATTCTCAGTTGATCACGTTGCCATGTGGAATGAATGTACGCCTGTCTCTGCGATTGCAGCCGGTCTGTCTTGATCTTTCTTTCGTGTTTTTCCACCGATCTCGTCCTATTCTTAGGTTCAGCTTGCGATATCCGTCTGGCGTTATTGTTATAAACCCGGTCACAGGAATAGGGATGCTTTTTCAAGATTTCTTTCGCTTTTCCTTCTGTATAAGTGTAGGGTGTGTGTCCGTGGCCGAAATGCCGCGCCGGGGAAATCCTGGGGAAATCGTTAATTCACGTCGTAAAAATGGTATTTAACGGTTCGAAATTGACCGAGAAAAAAGCAATCGCTTATCTCGTCCATCTTTAAAGGTGAAGGTAATGTTGTCACATGAAAGACAGGAGGATGTTGTGGAGTTCCGAGTTCACCCACTAGTCAGCGAAGCACCATCTGGGCCATTCCTACGACTAAGCAGGAATATCACAACTGTGGAATAGCCAGTGATACTTGCGCTGGTAAGGATAATTACTTTTAACTACATAATACTGAACTTCGTCATATAGGTGTATTACTGCTTGCTGTGATGCTTTAGATAACCGAATGCATTTAGGGCACTCCAGTCACCTACATGTACAAATACATGCAAGATGCATTCAGGTAAACAAAGAGATAAATTTTAAGGTGCTTTAGGGACTGTCATGGCAATGCAGTTTCGAATGGCCGGAAACCTAGAAGGAAATATATAGTGCGTACCTACATACATATATTTGACCAGATCTTGCTAGGGATTGATTGTTATCCTTATTATAAGTCACTTCTCATTCATTTAAGATTTGGATAGTCCACGATAAATAGTATGAATGTTTATTAAGTATGAATTATAAATTGAAGGTCTGTGACTTCTCTTCCTCCGTCATGTAAGGACTGTGCTTCTGCACCAACACATATAACCCTCCTACACTAGTGCTTAAGCACATGATGATATCACTCCGTCAATTCTATCACCAAGTGTATCGGAAGTTCGGCTGCTCCCGATCTGTCAAATCCATCAAATCAGTCTCTAAGATATGATGTTGGTTACCCTCATCTGCGACAACCGTTGCTTCGCTACGTCTATCACGACGTCGATTCTCGTTTAGGTAATACATCCTGCGAAAATTAGAACCCGACAGCCTCTATATTTGGGCTGGACACTTACATCAAAGCGGCTTGAATGACAATCATCATCGATGCGCTGACGAAATATGCACGGAATCCAGTGGGATATGTGGGTGCTTCGGAAGAGATGAAGAACTGCGGCGTAATGATTTGGCCAACACAATAACCAACAAAGATCATGACCTAAATAGCATAACCAATAAGCGTCGCTTCATGTAGGATAGGACGGTGTAGGTGGGCTTACACTTGCTGTCATCTTCTTCGTGAATCCAGCGACGTTTGATGAGATCATTGACATGCACATGATGTATGAGACAGTACATGTGAGGAGCGAGTAAACGGCGCCCAGACGCGACATCTTTCTTTCGACGGGAAGAGCTGCAATTGTTAATATTATTAGAGGAAAATGAGGATTGTGGTTACTCACTGTAGAGCAGGACACTCCCAACTAGCACGCAAATATTGCTCAAAATCATTGCGATGCATCGTCCTTTGCCAATATAGGAACAGATTCCGCCACTAATTTGTTAGAAAGAGAACGATGTGAAGGTAAAGCTGGAAAAAAAAACATACGCGAGTAGCACTGAGACAAGCTGAATCGCATGCTCGGGCATGGCAACTACAGTCGATTCAACGCTTGAGTAGCCAAGGCCCGTGAGAATGATTTTGTTGAACTAAAGCAAAAGTCAGTTACCAAAATCGTGCACCAACGTTGAATTGTTCACTTACAGCAGTCAATCCGCCACCTGGGATACATTGAAGGAACACAATGGCAAAGAGCATCAACACCTGGGGGTCGCGGAAGCATTCGATGACTTGGTATTTCTTATACTGCCGGTTCTTCATTCCGGTATGATTTTGCAAGACCTAACGGATACATCAGCCACACCCAAATTCTGTGTGAAAATGGAACTTACCCTGACAACCGCGATCTGCCTTTCCCGTGGGGTCAAAAACCACGCAGTCATTGGAGAGGAAGGCATGGCGAAAAAGAGGAATATTCCCCAGGCCATGGTGATGGGACCAAATATCAGGTACAGATATTGCCATCTGCCCAACGCGCCATGGAAATGGCCAATTCCGTTCGACACACCGTCACCGATAAATGCTGCAATCGGACCACCAGCCCACCATAAACACGCCCTCAATGCATGTTCCTGTGTGGTATAGTACTGGCTAACTAGGAGGGTAAACACAGGGTTGTTGGATGCCTCAAAGACGCCCAGGAAGAACCGGGCGACGGCCAGCGTAGCAAAATTGGTGACTCCCGCTGTAGCTGCGACACACACTCCCCAGAGAAATACCATGCTTCCTATCCAGCGGCCGATGGGTAGTCGCTGCATAAAGATAGAGTTGGGGTACTGCCAGATCAAGAATCTGTGTTACATTAGAACCGGGAATAGATGGAAATGAGATTGAGTAACATACCCGAAGTAGAATATCGAGTTGGACCAGGAGTACTGTTGACCTTCAAGGCGCTGGAACAGTTAGTTTGAGGACAACCATAACCCTTTGAATGGATATGCCCTTACTAGGTCAGTTCGGAGTCCATAAACTGCGGCAGTCGACAAGATTCCTTTGTCGACAAAAGAGAGTAGATAACTTATGAGCATCTATACGCTTAGTATTAAGTATGCGTATTGACAATAGGGGATTGAAGATTGATTCTTACCATAGGGACGAGCGATAGATCAAGTTTCCAGCGGACGATGCTCTCTTCTCTTTCGCTATACTCCAACACCAGGTCCCCGTTGAACATCTCTGCGGCATCGTCGCATCCCTTGTGACGCATAGTTTTCTCCCCTTGGGGAACGGCAGTCGCCTGTATCTCGTGTTCTCCCATTTTTGCAATCTGTGGAGTTTTTTGGGGACACTCCGCAGAGACTTTCTGTTTGTAGGTAAAGGGGCATATGGTTCTGGCGACCGAAGGGGAATAAGTACTCCACGGTTTCCATTGCAGCCACTTGGACCTAGCCATATTCCCCGCAGTACTTTTTTATTCTCTTATCAATGCCGCTCCTTCACCTGACCTGGGGTAATAATAGTCATGATACTAGAGATATGACACGGGTTCATAGCCAGGAGTTAAGCGTCGGCTACGCCGAAATATCGGCTACTACCGATGTCGCGGCAGCAACCGATATCTCCGAGATAGCCTTACCCTAACCATTTGCAACATCGGGACACTGCCGAAAGTAATAGTTCATAAAGAACGCCAATCTGCTGGATAAGCTTCTTCGATAGCCAATTGACTCTCTGGCAGACCTGCACGAAGGAGACTCTAATTCCATCGAGGAGATGTCCTTACATCCGTTTTATCAGCATGTGGTAGTCAAGGGGTTGCCCTATGACCGTGGATTCTCCTATGGTGAGCAAACCAAGGAGAAGATCCAGCTCAATGTCACGTACTATAAGCAGCCAGGCAAACTAGGACCATGGTAGGTCACTCGGATCCCATAAATGTGCTGAAGGATGCTAATTTCCAGGTCTTCGGTTTCGAGAGTCATTCAAAACTGCTATATTCCGGGGCTGCAGCGCTACTGGCCATCAGGATGGGAAGAGATGCGTGGTGTTGCCGCTGGTGCTGGTGTTACAGTCGAAGACATCGTCATGTTGAATGCACGATATGACCTCTCGCATGTAAAGTTCGAGGCTGTTCCCGAAACACCGGCCGCAGAAGAGCCCAAGACGGTGGAAGTCGTTCCTGAAATTCCTCAGGAGACGCCTGCTGTCGAAGTCGCTGTCGAAAATCCCAAGACAGCCGAGGTTGCTGAACCCACCGAGAAAAAGGCCGTCGGTGAAGAACAGCAGGTCGAAGTTGCAGAAGAATGCACCTCCGCAATCATTCTCTCCCCTGCGACAAAGAACCGGGAAGTCTTCACTGCGCAGAACTGGGATATGTCTCACCGACTTGTCACTGAAGACGCCATTATCTACCTTGAGATTCATCCTGATCCCTCCGAAAACGTCCCGTCAATGTTCCTTGTCACTGAGGCGGGTCAGCTGGGCCGCTCAGGGTGCAACAGCGCTGGGCTAGGTCTCACAGCAAACTCCCTGCAGAGTAACATGGATCTAGCTCCCGATTTATCAATCCCTATCCCCCCCTCTGGGGTATTGAGACGGCTTTTCCTTGAGCAGTCCAACTACTCAGCCGGACTGAAGAGCATCGCCCGGACCCCACGCCACGTCGCGTTTAATGTGATGGTCTCATCTGCCGACGATATTGGCATGTGTCTGGAAGTGACACCGCAGACGATCTTTAGGTCCGTCATTTCATCGGGCTCGGAAAAGCCGTACCTTGTGCACAGTAACCACTTCCAGACTGGCCCCTTCCTGTCACAGACGCAAATTGCCGACACATACCTCGGTGGGAGCTCATGGTATCGGGGTGATCGACTCGAAGCGGGTCTGTGCAAACAGGCACAAAAGGAAAATTTGATCGAACAGGATATTGTGTCGGCATTCCAGGACCATGCAGGTTATCCGCACAGTCTATGTGAGCATGTTGTTGAAGCAACAGGTTCTAAAGAGGAGAACTCTGGGCCGTATTCTGGGCCTACGTCGACCGTTTGCTGTGTCGTTTATAATCTGTCTAAGCGCACGGTGCGAGTGTGTAAAGGTTGCCCATGTGAGGGGACATTTCAAGATTTCGAGTTGCGATGAAAGAATATAATTTAACCCATCATTTCCTCAAGCCTAAACTGATCGCGAATGTAATCATCTTCCACCAAATCATCAAAAATCGACCAGAAGCCCTCGCCCCCGAACGCGTTCGTATCGACTGGAAACAATCCGTTCCAATCTGGAGGTTGGCTGCGTTTCAGAATATCCATCATCTCCCGCGCGAGGATTTCAAAAATGTCCCGAAACCGTTTTGTCGACGGCCATTGCTCTGAAATGGCAAACAGAACACTCGAACAGGCTCGGATATCTTCCAAGGCGATGAGGTCGGGCCTGTCCTTCCTAGTCCAGCTGGAGTATAGGAGGGTTAAACCGGCCGTGAAGATGGAATGTAGCGCCAGAAGATTCCAACCCAGCGGGCTTCGCTGATGAAGCACTTTGTAATGTTGGCAGATGTCCCCAGATGCTCGAGCACTCAGTGCGATATACTCCGCTGTCTTTGAAACCTCTCCTTCTGCTTCGTTCTTTGCTGTAGTGATACGTCTCTGAAGGAGCATGCGCAGTGCCTTGCTGTATTGAATGTCGAAGAATTCCCTTGTATCGTACAGCGAGTAGCCGGGGAGAACGAAGGAGGCTTCTATCGGGACTGGGACAGCGAGTCGCCAAGCATCGAGCTCATACCGGAAACAGTCGATCTTTTCGTCGGAAGCTTCATGCACATCGGCTCCAAATATTTCACGGTGTATGCGGCTTTCTAGCCGTCGTAAATGACACATATGGGTGAATGATTGGTATTTTGGTGAGTCATGTACCTGTTCGTTGATAAGTATTCAGCGGCATCATATTCATTCGAAATCAAATGGAAAATTTACCGGAACGTCAATCTCATGTTCTGCTAGGGCGAATGGTCTACCAAGGGTCAATGAGACTGCTCGATCCAGAATGTACGCACTCCAAAAGACACGATTACGCAAGTTCAGGTCGTCTTTATTCAATTGTCGCGACCGAGAATCACGAAGATTTCGGTGAAGGCCCATCTCGACCGCATGTCTGATGGCAAGTCCAATAATGTGCCAACTTCCAAGATTTGACACATTACTGGGGGTTCGTAGAAGATAGAGGGCAATTAATAGGAGGGCTTGGACCCGTTGCAGGCTCTGGCTCGCTAGAGCAGAGTCGATATGGCGAAGGGCGCGTGTAAAGTATGTCTGAATGGGGTTCAGGATTGAATATCTTTCTTGAGATCCTGTGATGTAACATACCTCTGGTCTTCTGCATGGACGCATCTCAGGGTGCAGCTGAATGATCCTCGCAGCAATAGCGTAAACCATATACAGTAAGAAGAGATTGGGGGAATTGTGATCTTCGTCTCGGGTTGTCTGATGGAATAAATCCTGAAGAGAAACCTCGTCAAGAAATGGATATCGAGGATGCACTCGTTTGAAAAACGTATCAACCAACACATCCTCTTGGTCCGTTCCCACGGACTGCTCTCCCATTGGTGTCTGATCAGACACAGTAGTGTCATCGCCTCTAACTCTTTCGGTTAACATATACTCAGACAAGATTCCCTCCACGAGCCTAGAAAGCGAGAAGCCCGACGTTGCGCCGATAAATGATGGCTCGGCTGCGGCGTTCATACTCAAAAGCACAACATCCGTCGATAGCTCGCCATGGTAGTCGACCGGCGAGATAGATTGTGCGGCAACTTCATGAGTGCAGCTTTCATTCCTCTGGGACTGGAGACGGTTCTGTAGCTCGGCGACTTGTCTTTCTAGTCTGCTAGCATGTTGTACCAGTTGTGAGTGCTCTGTGGTTTGGAGGGCTTCAAGACCAGGCAAAGTTGGCCATGTGCAATCTGCGTTTCTTAGAATCTCCACAATGATTCTCATTTTATAGATTTCCAAAGCATACTGGATCCTGACCGCTCACAGGCCGAACATACGGGGAGCTCGCCATTACACTATGTTGTTGTCAGTAATTGTCGCAGCCTAAAAGCATCATCATGTATTTGCCTTTGTCTTACGGCGCTTGCAGCGCTCACAGGCAATAGGTGCCCGGGTTCTCCGATGTGGTGGCATCAACAAGATGAGAGGTGATCTAGCGGGGAGGTTGAAGGTGAGAACGCTCCGTGGGTAGGCTAACCTATATAGGCAGCTAGATGTAGATTGACAATAACCTTGACCCTGATAACCGAGGGTAAAAGATAGCGACACAGCTAGAAAATCTTATTTTCACAAAAGAGCCTGAAGAAAAATATCATATTGCCACGATCATTTTGGAGAAATATGAAAAGACATGCCAAAAACCCCCAAAAAAGACAGCATTTGAAACAATTCATCTACTTCATTAAGAGCTACAATTTTATGGACCATCCATCGATGTATTCATGTAGATAAACATTGATGATGTGAGTAACAACCTTGGAAGTGACGCGATAGTGATGTGGTGACCTGAAGGGTAAGGCAATGAACCTTCTGCCTGAGAGATCGGGAGACACGGCACCAAGGCCACATCCAATCACTGTCGAGCTGTCATCTCCATTGAAGACCCTCCCATTTCCACCCCGAATTAGCCGGGAGCTGCTCAGGGTTTGTCTTCCGCAGAAAGTTGCCAGTTGAACTCTGCAATGGCCCCAGATACCTCTTCTGCATCAGGGGCTTCACCCTTGACACCCCCGGCCCCCGACGACAAACCATCCGCCCCTCCCGTCAACATCCTCCCCTCGCTGATAGCCCGGATCTACTCAATTGCGCACCCAGCACTCCTTTTGGCATTGGGCGCTACTCGTTTTGAAGCAGTGGTTGCTGATCCCACCAAGGAGCTTCTTTCCACCTTACCATGGCTCACCCTTGTACAAATTTTCTACGTGATTGTTTGTCTTCCACCCGCCGGGTCGACACCGTCAACAGAGACGAGCGCGTCCGCCCCGGCTGATGGCAGGTCAAGTCCTCGGTCATCTGGGCCTGGTGGTGCTGTGCGTCATGGAAAACATGGAAAGCGGAAGCAGCACGCCAACAGCTGGGCGTGCATTTGGTCCCGGTTACTGGTACGCGATCTCCAAATTGAGTGCAAACTGCGAGTCAATTGATACTGACACGATTTTCTAGCCTGCCCTCCTCTCGCTCTCTCTGACTTTCGCCTTGGCCACGCCAGTCCTGACAATTCTTCTGGTTCTATTTGGCGCCCCGCTCACAACGCACAACTCCGAGACCGTCTTGTGTGCGGCCCACATGGCGGTTCTATCCGCAACGGCCCTGACTTACGCCCATGGGTTGGACCGCGCCGTATGGAACGAGGTTTGGGGCATTGCCCGTCCTGCCGATGCGGTCTGGGGAAGTGCGCTCGGCACAGGCTTGGGGGCGTGGTTTGGCGCTATTCCTATTCCTCTTGACTGGTTAGTTATACGTTCACACTGAACTTCAAATGCCAAATAGCCGACTAACTCGATACATGAAGGGACCGACCTTGGCAGGCATTCCCAATCACGATTCTCGTTGGAGCCTACATCGGACATGCGGTTGGCTCTTTGCTTGCTCGCACTCCATTGGTTTACGGCAAGCGTGTCAAATTCACTGTGGAGGAGGTGAGCGAGACCGAAAAGAAGACTAATTAGGGACTTTGTCATTGATTCCCTCTATATTCGCGCAATACGGCATATTTCCGAAGATACATGTCTGACTTGTATTAGCATAAAAAGCTCTTACAAGTCTGCCGCCACCAGTTATAATTGGTTTTAGATATCCAAAGAATTAATTTGATAATGTAAATTTCTTTAATGAAAGCGTCTTGCTATTCACAGCTTGCCATGATCCTTGAAGCTGCCATGTCGCTCTGAGCCTTTGCTATATATGCACTGTAGTCGCAAGACTGGCGATCTGTGTTGAGCTGTCTTGCTATATTAATAGCTTCCTTTAATGATTTCTAGAAACCAACCGAGTGGCTACTTCAATGGTCAGCGCTTCCTGGGCGCCCACAGGCTGACCGGACAATATCATATCCAAGACACGACCAAGCCCGACAATGATCTGCAGCCGGACGGTTCCTCCATTAATCACAGGCACACCTCAGCGTCGACAAAAGACACCAAGGACTTTCTTTGTCTTCTTCAATCACGCGCATATCAGTGAGTAGGCTCAGCCTTAGTCCTCCTGCAACGGTGTATCCGGAGGTAGCACATATGACTGGCTTTGTTAAAATGAGTCTGGAGGGACCCGTCCATTGATAGGTTGGAGGTTGTCGCGGGGTGTGTCGTCGTTTGCCTGTGCAACACTCTGGAGGTCGGCTCCTGCGCAAAAGCTACCACCAGCACCTGTCAGGACACACGCTTTTTGTTTCGAGCCATCCTCAAAGACAAGAATGGCTTCGTAGAGCGCCTTCGCAGTCATGTGGTCGACGGCATTCTTCCTATCAGGGCGATTAATTGCAATCACCGAGATGGCAGAATACGAGGAAGTATCTGTAGTCACTTCAACTCACTTGACCATGTTCCGCCATATCCAAAACTAAGGAAAGTATCATCGAAGAAAGCGAAATGTTGCTGGTTGAGCATTTTATAGACTTCCCATACCTCGGTTAAACCCCACTCTCTCGACCTCCTCCAACCATCTCCGTCACTCGGATCTACGCTGTCGGGGCATAGCACCATGTCTTCAGCATGTATAATCTGTCATAAAAGAAAGGTGTCGCATTGATCATCCATTGGCGCGTTCTCGAGTAATCGCTAATGGTTATAGGTGAGGTGCGACTATGCGACGCAAGACCCCTGCACCAACTGCAAAAAGTCAGATGTGGAGTGCAGGTAAGTACACCCGCAGAGAACTCGAATAATTGAAAACTAACTCCGTTCAGACCATATACAAGGAAGCGCAAGAGGTTTACCAACAGCCTATCGCCAGGGCGGAATGTGTCAATCTCTGTTCCCTTGAGTCAGACACCGCGGAGCTCACAGGTTCCTCCCGAGTCACCAGAGGCGCAAGTAGCTTCACAGCGGAATTCTTTAAGCGAGTCTCATGGAGTGGTTCCAATTGAACCCAATGCAGTTGCGGTGGCCAATCATGGCGAACCGTTCATTAAAGAAGAAAGCTATCGCGGCCGCAGTGAATATCTCGGTGGCAGCGTTCCGTTTGATGAAAATATGGTCAAACCCGGTCGCGAAACTACATACACCAACCCCAAAGCATCAGCAACTGACTTGCAAATGCTCCGCGACCAAGGTGCTTTTGAGTTACCTCCGGTATCAGTTCAGAAAGAGTTAATGGCCAGTTTTAACATGCACTGTGCACCTTGGACACCCGTTGTGGACCCGAAATGGCTAGACGAGAGTGCGCCACGATCGATGCTGCTCCTTCAGGCTATTTTTCTCGCTGGAAGTAGAGTTTCTAAAGCTCACCTGGACTATGGGTCTAGCGAAGTGTTCTATCGACGAGCGAAACTACTTTTCTTTTTTGGTGGTTGTGACAACCCTTTAATTTCTATTGTGGCCGCCTGTCTGCTGCATTGGTATAATCCAGTTGGGCCCGAGGATGTCTCTACTGATACCAGTGGGTTTTGGATTCGGACAGCTGGAGCAATGGCCTTTCAGATTGGGCTACATAAGGAACCCTCGCCGAATTCTCGAGATCGGGGGTTCCGGAGAAGGCTGTGGTGGTCTCTCGTGGTATGGATCTACCTGAATACGGAATACACAAATTGCCGTGCGCTAACATACTTAGGTGCGAGACAATATAATTTCTGTTGGCGTCGGCCGACCACGAACTATCAATCTACGCGACAGTGATGTGCTTCCGCCATCACTTAATGATTTCCCCGTGAACAACTTTAAGTCTCAATTATTCCTAGCCTACTGCACGATATCCCGGCTACTGGGAGACACAGTTGAGTCCCATCTACGAAAGGAAATCTCTCGCCAAAGACGGGTTGATCTTGAGAACGCCGTCTACCGATGGGCAAAACAAGTCATTCCAAGATTACGATCGTCTGTCGCAGATCAAGACGATGCGGTTATTTGTAACCTTGAAGTACAACAGCTGCTGGTAATGTATTTCGTGGTGCTCACTATCCTCCATCGCTCGCCTACGCCAGGTAGCGTACCACCCGCAGCATCGTTAGTCGCATCTTCGTTCATTGCCGGTATTTACGAGGAATTCTTACTTCGCGATGAGCTTCGATACTTGGGTCCTGTCTTTGCATTCTATCCACTATGCGCTGGACTGTCACTCCTTTCTAGCTGCCGCTATGCCAACCTGCAGAGTACCGCCGAACATGAATTAACAGTCATGAAACTCTGCCTCCAAAAACTATCCGAACGGTGGCTCTCGGCGGTCGGACCGTTGCGTGCGCTGAACAAATTGACCGAGAAAATCCGAGAGCTGGGCCCCTTCGAGGGTTCATCGCCTACGCTCGACCCGGACGCTGCCTCGTTCTTTGAGGGGTTTGAAACAAAGCTTTGCAAACAATGGCAAGCCATTGGACATTCCTCGGATCCCACAAGCTGGAACACAGGGATTTCGCCTACTTGCAATATGGCCGACATTCAAGAACCGGATACCCTTCGGCCCCTTGATGCTCCACCGGGACAACAGGCGGATACTTACGACTTTGCCTCTCTTGATGTTAGTTTGGACCCATTCAGCAATAATTGGGAAGGCGCTGGATTTGACTGGAGTGGCTCCTGGCTACTTAATATATGAAAACAACAAAGCTTGATAATCGGCGTTACAGAAAAAGTGGTCTTGGTTTATGTCTTGTTTTCCTATGTACAAAAGTTCCTCTCCCATTTTTCTTTCAAAATACCACCCACAGTTTGTTGCACCGGCTAGACTGCATGTCGTCTATAGCTTACCTCTATTATTCTTTTGTACCTCAAGTTCATAATACTGCCTGAAGTGATCCAGAGACCCAGGATTCGCAACGGTGCTGCTAATAATCTTGGGTAGCTGGCCAGACGAAATAACCTGTTTGACCAATGTCTCGACCTTTTTACCGTTCACCGTCATAGGAACTTCTTTGACCCCAATCATGAAGCGAGGAACATGTTTACTGCTCAAGCCTTTGCGAATTGCATCCTTGAGCTCGACAGCAAGTTGGCCCGTGAACGGTTTTCCAGGTTGCATGATGACGAACAGAAATACAACTTCATCAGAGTCATGAGGTCGTCGACGCCCCACACAGAAAGTAGTTGATATAGCCGAGTTGAAAGGAGCTGATTCGGTGATCGAGTATATGTCTGCCGACCCGAAACGAATACCCTGCGGATTCAGGACACCATCGCTGTCGGTTTTCCAGTCAGTACGCAGTTCCTTCACAAGACATACTTACAGGGAAATGTAACTTGCCTCCTTCCATGAATCTGCCAACCTTTCGTTTGTGGGTTATAGCTCGCCCAATCGTGTTGAGCCCAACAATTTTCGAATTTCTCGAAATATGCGCTCTTGTACTTCGATCCATCTTCATCGCCCCAGAAAAAGACCGGCATTGAGGGGAAGGGCTTGCGACAGACAAACTCACCATGTCTTCCAGTGGTCTTAATAGAATCTCCCGTGGCAGGATCGGCGATGTCCAAGTCGTGTCCAAGCATGGGAAGCTGAATCTCTCCAGGGTACAGTGGGCCCGCAGGATCAGTCCCAATCCAAGACGTTGCCAAGTCCGTTGCACCTGTTACACTGGTGAGATGAACGCTCGAGGGGAATGTGCGGTAGAACCAGTGATACTGGTCTTCACCTAGATGAGAGCCACCCGTTTGCACCATTCTGAGGGACGATAGGTCGAACTCGTTCTTTGGGATGCAGCCGGTCATCTCGAGCTCCTGCAGATAGCGAGGAGAGCAGCCCCAGTATGAGACTTTATGGTATTCGGCAATTTTTGCCAGTCCTTTGGCACTGGGCCACAACGGAGATCCGTCGTATAGAATCAGAGTCGGACCCACGGACAGGTGACCGACCATGACATTCCACAAGACCCATGAGGTACTGCTGTACTGGAAAACAACATCCTCGGATGTCAAAGAGTTGTGCAGTACGGATGTCTTCTTGTGCTGCAAAATAACACTGTGGCTGTGCACTAGACACTTGGGCTGACCGGTGGTGCCGCTGGTGTACAAGATGTAGAGTGGGTGAGAGAAGGACACTCTTTTAAACTCTAGCTTGTCCTCCCGTCGTGAAGTTGACAGAAAGTGATCGAGACTGGGGAACACCGGCTCATGGCCCCCCGTTATGGGAATCAAAAACACTTGTGGTTTTGAGCCCAATGCCTTCACGATGCTTTGGATCTTAGCAACGTTCGATCGCATTTTCCCCTTGTACGTGGACTCGGCATCTGCAAAGAGAAGTCGAGGAGTGACTTGTTGCAACCGTGAAACACAGCCCTGGTATTTCAAATCAGTCTCCTTTCTCCAGCGATTCTCATTCCTTCGTAACATACCTCGTCACCCAAATCCGGTGCAATACTAGTCCAAATCGCGCCGATACTGGCAGTCGCTAGGAACAGACCGATCGACCAGACGCTGTTCGAGATGATAGCAGCAACTCGATCTCCTTCCTTAATACCTGCCTGGAGCAAAGCACTCCTTGCCTTTCTGACATTCTCCCTCAATAATCCCCATGTCCACACCTCCCCACTCAGATCCTGGCCCTCTCGAACTCCAACAAGAGCTGTCTTGTTCATGTCCCGGTTAGACACAACATTCTCTGCATAGTTGACAGTTACTCCAGGGAAGAATTTGGGAACCTTCTCCATGGGCGTGCTAGGATCGAATGCGGATGGTACTGTCGGAGGCAAGGACGGAATAATTCCCGTATAGCCATGGAGGTCTGTCCAGAAATCCTGCAGATTCTCAATGGACCATTGATGCAGATCATGGGAGGAGCAAAGCTGTTGATTGAACTTCTTGTTGATATGCGCACGATAGATGTTCATGGGTATTTGGTCTTGGGGCATGGTAGGCTCCCAGATGGGCCGAGGCCGGAGAGCGTCGCTCTTCGTAGGGTTTGCCATTTTTTGTTTATTTCCCTGGTGTTAATTCTGTGGTGTAGAATCTGAATTGATTAAGTACAGAGTGATTTACAGTGACAAACAAAAGACACAAAGTTACTCTCAATAAGCACATTAATAGCCCGTCGTCGGCATTCGGCACCCGGCCATTGAATACCGGCATGGATAATCTAATTCGGGTAAATCTGACGCATTCCTAGGAACACCCATGATACTGTAGGCTCTTTCGGTAATCGTCGGTGGAAATCGGTCAGAGCCGGTGATACATGATGTATTTTATAGGGCTGATGCTGCTACTCGGCCGATGATGCAACGCCCAACCCCCGCACGAAACTGAAGGAATGTAAGACTTGGGAAGCTTCATTTCGTGGGGTAAATAATTACATGCTGCGAACTTTTTTCTTCCTATATTGTTACAGCCAATATATGTTGTAGGCGTCTAACCTCAAACTCTCGAGATCTCTTTCGTTTCAACCATGCAATCTGAGCTTAGGTTGTTAAATGGTATCTCTTTCACTAATAGCCCAAAGCTTTTTTGTATAGCTCAATGTTGGAATGCGAAGTGTTAGTCAAATGTCCAAATATGTACAATTACCCGAGAACAGCTATATCAATACACGAACGTGAAGATTACATGCTATATATGGCATCAATCTTCATGGCTTTTCAAAGCTTCGAGCTCGCCTTTTGCAAGGATCGGTGACCAGATGCACGGTTCGCCGGCAGATCGACTCCCCAGGCAATGCGGCAGTCCCATTGCACATGTTCCTCTCGTCCAGAAGTAGCGCTCGCGGTGCCACGGACTGTAATAATATCATGGAACACATGCTCTCCCACGCCACCCTCAGCACTCAAGATCCAGCGCCGAGCGATCTCTGTCGTCACAGGGTCATTATCACGTTCAGCATCAAGCGCCAGAAGAGTACCAGATAGAATCCAGGCTAGAGTAAACATAAATCGACGGCCATCCGCAACAGTTGAAGCGGGGCCCTGAATCGTGAAACGAACACGCAAAGCTGACCATGCAGCAGTCAAGGCATTCCGCAGTTCAGTGCTCTGAATCAGGGTCAAGGTACGGTCAAGCCATGTTCCAAATATCTTCAGGTTGTCGTTCTTGATAAGGAACCGGACGAACTCGCTGGCTAGCACGTTGGTAGTACCCTCCCAGATAGAATTAACTGCGTTATTGCGCAAAATTCGAGAGATATTGAATTCGGGCTCGTCAGCCTCATCCATATACCCGACTCCACCCATAGATTCCTGACATTCTTGAACTCCCGTAGTGGCCATCTTACTGATGACAGCCTTGGCAATGGCAGTCAAGGTACGGAAAACCACCTCGGCTTCCTTACCAGGTTGAGGTAGATGCGCGAGATTATTAGACGACGGTGTTTGATCCTCAACTACCCCAAACAAAGCAACGGTAAACCATGCAAGATTCATTGCTCCCCGATGCTTTACCTCCAAGTCTGCGAGGAGTCGCAAATGCATTGGGATTAACCAGAGCGGTTCGCCAACAGTAGTCCTTGCTTTTGCAAAGCTTTTCGTAATGCTGATGGCTCGACGCCAACCAGCAAGCGAGCCAACGAAGGTATGAAGTCGGGTGACGTTGAGAAGAGGCGCAATAGTTACGATACCCTGGTCTAGTTCCCCAAGCAGGTGCGCACGCATGTCCTTCAATTCCAATTCGGCAGTTGGCAATTCTTTGGTACCGAGCTTGTTTTTCAGTCGGTGGATCCTGACGCCATTAGATACAATTTTGGAGACGCCGTCGGCGCCCACCACGGTCCGTCGCAGTGGCGCGAGGAACGTGCTTAGCTTCCCGGATGGTGTTTTCGCGAGCAAAAGAGCAAGATTCGCATCCGTTGCCGAGGAAAAGAATTTGAATCCGCTAATCAGGTAGTCGCCATCACCCAGGGGGTCGGAGCCAGAGTCGGTAGCTAAAGGCGAGTATGTAGCCCATGTTTCGGTGTTTTGGACGTCGCTTCCACCAGCTCTCTCAGTCATCCACTGGCCCGAGGTCCAGTGATCATCCTTTTCGGAGACCAGCCCCTGGAACGCAGTATGGAAAGGGTGTGTAGATGGCAGCTTGTTGATTCTTGATGAGAGAATAAAAGCAGCACCATCGGTCATACTAATCGGACAGGAGTATAGTCCAGAAGAAGGAGAGTACAAATAGGTCCTGGAATCATGGCATGAGTGATAGCGTAGAAAGATCGACAATAAAATACTTACAGCGCATACTGGACCGTTCTCCGATCGACCCCTAATCCCCTGTCATAGCCCGCCGAGACGATCCTAATCGGATGGCGTTAGATCATGCAAGTCAGCTTAAAGGCGTTTTGTAGAGGATACCTATTCCGAGCACCCCATTTGCCCAACTGCTTCCAGCCTTCGGTGGTCACTAATCGATCGTAATCATATCGCTTACCCCAAACGTTGTGGCTCTTCACATATGGCACATTGCGCTCTGCATCGGCGCTCCATTCACGAACCTGCTCTGAAATAGCCTCGGCACCGAACTGCGTGAGGTGCGGTTGTACAGATTGTAATGTAGTAGATGGTAGGTACCCTGAATAATGTTTAGAGATTATTGTAATTACATCTGAATATAAGAAACTCACATGCCAGTGTCCGTTGGAGGCTAGGATCCGACGTGTAGGTATTCTCCAACGGACCGGGATCGGTGATATAGCCACTATCTGCTGTCGCGGGCCGTGGGGAAGACATGGTGTGATTGTTAGAAGCGAAGGCGATTGAAAATCACAAACATAGCGCTCAGAATAATGTTGCTAAAAGCCGTTGAAGATGCGGGGGGAGATGGACCTCGGCCGTCGGTTGTCCAAAGTCTCATTTTTGCCCGCGAAAGCGCCGATTACCTGTCCACGCCACCTTATTGAACCTACAACATGTGATCTTATATGTTTTACCGTTTCTAGTTACTGAATATTCTGATTATAGCCTAGACGGCAAGCCAATACCCAAGAAATGATTGTTAAAATATCATGACAGGCGACCATATTAGCTATAACAGTCCTTCCCAAGATATCATCGAAGGAAGAAGATCTGATTTTTTTATTTAATGTTGCTTTTGCTAACAACTGAATGCCCTCACATATCGTGCAGCGTGTTGTATCCAGTTTCAACCAAGCTGCGCGGTCCTCGGGCATCAGAGCAGACATGCCAGTAGAACAAACCACCCAGTTTCGACGAAGTCACAAATTCCGCCTTCTGTTTTACTGTTTCTGGGGTATCGTATGTGACAAAACCGCCATCAGCACCAACACAGAATGATGCAGCAATGTTCTTATCATGGTACTCCTGTGTTCCCGGTCGGGGCAGATCGCGATAGTCAAAGACACCGTCCTCGCCACCGTTTCCAGTATACCTCTGACCAGGGCCATTGCTACCTAAGAAGGATCGCCCGTAAACTGGGACACCCAAAATGATCTTTCTAGGGGACACCCCTTGCCCTACGACGTAAGAAACTGCCGAATCACCAGATACACCTGAGCCATAAAGCTGCGCCTGGTGTCCCGTTTCAGATTCCCATGGTCCAGCAAAATCGTAGGTCATAAGGTTGATCATGTCAAGATGCTTTTGTGCCGCAGCAAGGTCAATGTTCCGTAATGCCCACTGACCAGCGGGGAGGGCAGTAGTAAGTACGTATCGTGGAGCCGGGAGCACTTCGCGCAGACGTGCGAGGAGACGGACATAATCCTTTCCTTGCTTGGAATCAGAGGGGTGCTCCCAGTCGACTGTACAGCAAATAGAATAAGTCATGTGTTCGAACTTAAGTCGGAATCAAAAAGACAACGCGGCCTTACTGTCAATGCCATCAATTCCAAATTGATCCACCAGTCCCCGCGCGGTGCGAACGAAAGTGTCCACCTTTGAGCGGCTGCTGGCTACGGCAGCGAAGTTCTCGCTACCTTTTCCACCACCACCAACAGAGAGGATGACCCTCATCTTAGAGTACTGTTGTTTTAATTGGACAAAAGCTCTAAGGCAACCTTCTGCGCCGTCAACGGGCATCTGGGTATCAGCCCACTCATCACTCAGCTATGACGTAGGGTCAGTAAATATTCCTACATTGAAGGACGTGGATGCTTAAAATTAAACTTACATAGATAGTGCCATCATCTTTGACCCTGCGAGAAACCAAATTGAGATTAGCGCATCAGCCATCTACTCGAATTCGGGCCCTTGAACGGCGATGATTGGCTGTGTTTACCAGGCAAATGCGTAGAACACGTGAGAGATAAATCCCAAGCGCAAAGATGAAGGAGGTTCCTTTCGATAGATTCTCCAATTCGGATAGTAGGCCGCATTTGTGTACAATGGAACTTCGTACGAGACGTGGGACTCGGCGGGGTCACGGTCCGCGCCCCGTCGGCGGAAGAGCCTGGAAGCTGAAAACATGGTCAAGACGTCAAGGTCAGGAATGTACAAGCTCGCTCATTGAAAGGAACCACAGAAAGGACTGAGGTTGAACAGAATTCGGAGGCAAAAAAAAAGGGACCAAGGGGAAAAGGAAGAAAGAGTTGAATTGAAAGGAAAGTACCTAAAGCAATGCTGTGTGTTTCCTTTTTTGGAATACGTCACGTGTAACTTCGCCTCGACCCTTTTACCACTTGGACACTTGGACTAATTGGGGGTGAGTATGGCCAGACAGTTTGCAGATGCAAATCTGAGGTAACTTCACTAGGCTTCCTGGCGTAGATGGTCAAATCAGCAATTGGATACAGCGAGATGCGGGGAATGCAAGCTAAGCATATGCGCAGCATTGCCTTTCTTTTTTTTTTTTTTTTTTTTTTCTCCCTTTCTTTTCAAAAGTACGTTGTACGTTGTACGCAATGGCTTGATGTCTGCATAGCCAAATGCGGGGTCAAGGATGATTGCTTACAATCTACGTAAACTGTCTCACAGTTCAGTAACTGTCCTTGATCCAAGACATACCGGATCTTCTCCGGTCATTTTCGTATCACCGATCGGATCTAACCAGCGGATGTAGTAAGAAAATCCCATCAGGGAGACTTTTCAAACTAAGGTACGAGTGTGGATCATCATGCATGACCAATGTACCCCGTGTTCGAACAGATTTTTCAATACAGCGCCAGATCGTCCAACAATATTATCATGGAGAATCATGTCGTGATAATTCGGCTATAGCGTCAAGCTCGTATTGGGCACCCCGGTGAGGAATATATTCTTGGTGCGAATCTAATGACCAAATACAGAGAGGGGCGATGGTGATTTGACATTTTGCCGATGTTTGCTTTTTTCGATTTGATGATGGAAGCATTTACAGGTATCTGATTCGCGGGGGGGGAGGGTCTAGAAGATGAGGCTGGAGGACTATAGGCAGCGATGCATGTTGCCTCCGGCTTTATGCTTTCCCGCGGTGATCGAGTTCGGAATGCTTCTTGCCTTTCACAGAGATACCGTTTGAATACCTATATCACACGAGAAAAGCCTGCTCAGATCACCTTGAAGTATGGAGAGCACCATTACGAGATAATAAAATAAAAAAAAGTGGTCTTGTCAATGGCCAAATGCCCTCATTGCGATAAACAGTCCCAAAATGGCCAACTACACAAATTTACGAATGTCGAGGTCTAACAAACTCCCCCTATCTAAACCTTTCAAAGCCTCCTGAGGTTGTTAGTCGCAACTTCGGCTTTGTGCAGATAACCTTACTTTGGTTACTTTCTCGACAAAAGGGTGTGATTGCGGATCATAGAGCGCTTCTGAAGATGAACGTAGGAGTTTAGTGTCAACCTTGGATCCCAATATCTGTATTACCCCCCGTTCTGTTTACAATATCGGGGGTACCTTGAGGAAAGTATCGCCTGCCAAGGCAAGCAAGAGTCAATAGACTTGAGCCATCCGAAATGTTTACAGAGTATAGTCAACGAACTCTTAGATTCCTAGACGTCCAAAATACGCATAATGTGATAGATAACTTCGAAGTATGTAGACTGTAAAATGACTATTCCCAATCTATGCTCGGTATCTTCGTCCAACACTAGAGCTTAACAGCTCTGTTCAGTTCGGCCCATTTCTTCTCTTCCTCAGATCCAGGCTGTGGCGGCACCAGACCATTGATCTTCCACAAGTCTCTCGACGATTCTATAATGAAATACTCCCATTCCATTCCCTTCGGCTCAAAAAATGGATTGAGAATCTCATCAACGGCAGCCAAGAATCTCTGTTTGGCTTCGTCGGTGAAGAAGGCACGGGCAACGTGATATATTTCCAAAGCTGCAGATTTGGGGTGAGGTTCGCCGCCAACAAACGAAGAACCGGGAATGTTCTCAATGAAATGGACTTGGACGTAAAATGCTGGTAGGCCATAGGAGACGTACAACTTAGTGATTGACTTGGCGAGTTGTTCTTTCTCAGGAGCCGTAATGGTGTCTGGACTATGTCTGATGTGCCAGGAAGGCATTTTGAAGGAAGTCACTTTCAAGTGAGAATAATAACTTGTTGGGATTTTTTTTCAGTTGAATCCTAAATGGAGATGTGTTGATATATTTTTCGCATGTTGGATCCTGTCCATTCTTATATACCAAATAGACCCCGCAGATTACTGATATTAAATATCGTCGCGCCATTATATGTATAATCACCTCAGTCTCACGTAGTGTTGATGTCTCGGGGCGATAGCGTAATATAAAAGTGTCGATTTTTTGATCATTTCATCAGCCTCCGCCCCTGAGTTGATTACTACATCGTACAAATTTTCGAGCTTTACAATAGTAACACCGACGATTACTCGGGTTGTATATTAGATCAGTCAGGTTGCACGCTCGATCAATCGGGCTTACATTCAAGATATGATGACATCGAGCATGTCGGCGTCGCATGGAATTGAGGCTCTCTTTAGAACCAGACCGGGGATACGGTGGATTGCATCATTTTACTTATCCCAGCTTATCAACCATATCTAAATAAAGATTTTGGCAAACTAGATTCGCCGGCAGATTACAAATTCAAACGACGGATATAAAAGACAGCTGAGCGCAGTATATAATATTTCTGTTTTCTCCCCATCAGCACTCGAATAATCAAAAAAGATGTCTAGTGAATTAATCTTTATCACCGGAGCCAGTGGCTTTATTGGGAGTGCCACTGCAGTGGCTGCTCTGGAAGCGGGGTATCGACTGCGAATTTGTCTTCGCAAGCCATCTGAGCAATTGGAAACGCTGCTGTCAGAGTATAGTGCCCAAGTTGAATTTATTATCATTCCAGACCTCACTGATGAGACGGCATTCGACGACAAGTTGAACGGCGTGGACTATGTCCTTCATCTTGCATCCCCTCTTCCTCATGGGACCGACAAGCAGGCATACTTTCCCCCGGCTGTGAAAGGGACCACTGCCGTGCTGAAAGCAGCAGCTAAGGTGCCAACCATCAAAAAAGTCGTGGTTACCTCGTCCGTCGCGGCCTTGATTCCATTGGCTGGCGTTCCTACTGGTGGAGTGGTGAAAGGTACCTTATATCTTGCTTTTAATCTCGGAGTAAGAATTGCATTGACAGATCTCCTAGAGGACAACGATTGGGACTTTTCGGTTGATGAGAATGCCAATTTCGAGGACCCTGAAACCCCGGCTATAACACCAATGCGACTGTATCACGCCTCCAAACTCCTTGCAGACAACGCAACTCGGGAGTTCCGGGCAACGGCCAAACCACAGTATGCCTTGGTGACATTGCATCCTGCATTTGTGTACGGGCGCAATCTTGTTCAGAGTTCTGCCGACGGCGTCCACGCGGGGTCTAACGGTGGTCTGTGGAATATCATTATGAAGGCCGATCCCACTAGAAGTATAGTAGGAGTACATATTCAAGATGTGGCCGAAGCGCACATCAAGGCACTCGATCCGAAGATCGTGGACGGCTCGAGATATCTCTTGGTCGGGCCGAAGACGACAGGCCCTGAGATTGCACGCATTGTGCACAGACTCTATCCGGATTCTGGGGCATTGATCTCTGAGGATTTCCAAGGTGTCTCGTTCCCAGTTGATGTGACTAAAGCGGAGACAGAACTTGGGATTCAATGGCGCTCATTCGAGTCCATGGTGCGGGATTTGATGGACCAGCAGCTCGGGTTTGTGTAAATATGCTCTGTCGAAGCACAATTTTAATAGATCAATGACAGTACTTCAAGATATCAATTATATTCTCGATTACAAATAAATAGCAATTAGACTGGATGTTGGAATTTAGTTTTCTATCGTCCTGGTTGCTTCTTGTTTTCCATGTCCACCAATTTATATATCTCGTCTCCCTTTCAGCTTATGGCCACATATATTTCAAGAGAGGAATAGTATGACACTCAGGGGTATTAATTTATCAATCAGAATTTTGCTTCCAATGTAAGTTGTAAAGATGTAGTGTGGCTTGTCCATGGGTTAAAATTGAATACCGAAATGCAAACGAGCCAAACACCAGTGTTGCCACCTGATTTCTAAGGCGACAACTGGAGAACAACCTGGACAGCTCCGCAACCTTCAACTAAGACTCCTTCTTTGAATATCCTTCTCCATGCCAATTTGAGCTAAAATACACCGAGAATCTGATTGCAACTCTTTCTCTCCCTGCAGCCCTTGAAATTTCATTCACAAGGAGGCGGGTATAGTCAGTCGAATACACGCACCTGACTCGCGACGACCACCGATCCTCTCTTCACCCTCCACACTTCACCTATCGCTTCAGCTTCATTGAGTCATGGCTGCCGACACCGAAAGCGCAGCCGCGCACATCTTATCCGCCGAACCGAAGCGCGATCCTAGCTACAATGAATTTTCTTTCACACCGTTTCTGCGCAAGAGCTTTGGCTTCGGACTTGCCAGCGATGTACCTGTCTGCAAAGCTTATAGTGAAGGACACTGCCCATTAGGACCTGCTTGTCCAGATCGCCATCCCACTCCGTCTCGTGTGACGACCTCGACTACCACAGCATCCGGAATGGCGCCATCTACAACACACGGATCGCTGGTTTGCAAACATTTCCTCAAGGGACTATGCAAAAAAGGTCTGAAATGCGAATACCTTCACGAATATAACCTGAGAAGAATGCCAGAATGCCAGTCATTTTCGCGATCCGGATATTGCACCAATGGTGACGATTGCCTTTACCAGCATGTCCGCGAGGAAGCACGCCTGCCGCCTTGCGAGCACTACGACCGTGGATATTGCGAATTGGGACCACTATGTGCAAAGCGACATGTCCGCCGACGTCTATGTACCTTCTACCTGGCCGGATTCTGCCCCGATGGAAAAGCGTGTGCCGATGCTCACCCTCGCTGGCCGGAGAACCTACCACGGCCTACAATGCGCACTGAAAAGACGGAGGAAGAACTTGAGCACGAACGCGTTCTTATCCGTGAAGAACAAGAACGGGAAAAAGAACGGGAACGAGAATGGCGAAATGAACGTGGTCGGGGTGGTGGATTTGGGCGTGGTCGCTTCCGCGGGCGTGGAAGGGGTTAGGCGGATTTTTATCGCAAGGGGTTATTTTTTGGTGACATTGCATGGCACGGAGTGAGGTGTGACTTCAGCAAGGGGTCCATGGGCTTGGTTTCTTTTCATTTATGGTTCTTGCGCTAGTCCCGCGATACCCCCAATTGGATTTGAGAATTTGACGCAAAAATATTCATCTTTTTTTTTTTTTTCTTTTTTTTCCCTTCACTTGAGCTCAATGGCATAATTGGTGTTACAACGGAGGCATCCTTGTTCCACCCTTGCTGTATTATGCCTGCCGTCTGCTATACTGGCTTTGCCTGGGAATAATAGACTGTGTCGTGAAACCAAATTCCTCTTCGTGTTAATAGTCAGCCACCGGAGCTAAGTACGCCGGTGTCAGCTTACCCCAATCTAACTCAAAGATGAAATCAGAGCTTTGTGTGATGATAAACACAGTGAAGAAATCGTGAGGGACTTTATGACATCATGACATGATAAGCACTGTAGAGATGTATATCCTAGCGCTGGAGGTCTTAATTCTGTTGACAAAGCAATATCCTTCTGGTAACTAGAATCTTTGCGATTTACAATTTTTTACTAAGGATTTTGTAACTCAGGTAGCGTCCACCTTAGCGGCGTCCACTCTTAGCGCGTAAAATTTCCCGAAGTCATTTGTCAGTGTTCAGTAAGAATCACCAAAGCCAAAGCTATATCCGGGTGGAACCTTTTTGGCCAATCATATTCCATCTTCAGGTGCTATGTCATCGGTGACTGATGCTTAGTTGCGCAGCTAATCATAGAGGTACTTGGGACCACATACTAATTAATATGTTAGGTAAGGTACCTAACAAATTCTCCCCGGCGGGGTGTGAACCCTTTATAATTAGCTCCCCTCCCCGCTCTCTATCTCTGATTCCCTCTACATTCACTCTACAATCCCCAAACCGTCATCATGGCTCCCAAGGTTGCAATTGTCTATGTATGTATTCCAATGGCAACATATTCCTCTACCATCTCACTAATTGTCTGAATAGTACTCCATGTACGGCCACATCCAGGCCTTGGCCGAGGCCGAGAAGAAGGGCATTGAGTCCGCTGGTGGCCAAGCCGAGATCTTCCAGTCAGTCACACCCTTGCTATGCCCTTTATATCATTTGATTAACATTTATATCTTTAGGATCGCCGAGACCCTCAGCGAGGAAGTTTTGGGCAAGATGTACGCTCCTGCCAAGGCCAGCTACCCCATTGTTCAGCCTGCCGATCTCCTCGCCTTCGACGCTGTTCTGTTCGGTATCCCCACCCGTTACGGTAACTTCCCTGCTCAGTGGAAGACCTTCTGGGACAAGACCGGTGGCATCTGGGCTACTGGTGGCTTCTGGGGCAAGTACGCCGGTCTCTTCGTCTCCACCGGTACTCAGGGTGGTGGTCAGGAGTCCACTGCTCTTGCCTCAATGAGCACTCTCGCTCACCACGGCTTCATCTATGTTCCCCTGGGCTACAAGACCGTCTTCCCCCAGCTGAGCAACTTGGACGAGGTTCACGGTGGTAGCGCCTGGGGTGCTGGTACCTTCGCTGTAAGTTAACACGACAGACACACTTCGATATGTTTCTCTTGCTGACCATCACGTCCACAGGGTGCCGACGGTTCCCGCAAGCCCTCTGCCCTTGAGCTCGAGATTGCCACCGCTCAGGGCAAGGCCTTCTACGAGACCGTTTCCAAGGTTCAGTGACTGCATGATAGTACCGAGTCGAAGCCGGAAAGCTCGACTCCTGTTGCTCAGGAGGGCGCTCAAAAGACCGAGCAGCCTCCTAAAGAGCAACGGGGTACTCAGGAGCCAGCCAAGAAGGAGAAGAGCAATGAGGGGCCATGCGGTTTGCCTAAGAAATGTACCATTCTTTAATTAGGCCCATGTCTCTCTTCTTGCGTTCTCTAGTTTTCGGCTGTTCTACCTGGGCGTTCTCTCGGCGTTTCGACTTCTTATGACGATACGGGTATACTATTTTCATTTTTCAACAGCCAATTATCTCTAGCCCAATGGAAGAAATCTTTGGAAGAGTTATCAGTTACTTTTATAAAACCCCATAGTAACTCGTACATGTTCAATTTTCTATATCCACCCATGTTGTATGGATGATTCACTTTCCATAATTATGTGTCCATGTCCCCATTTTCCCAAACAAAACATGCAGAACTTCGCCGCAGGTGAGAATGCTCATTACTAGCACTAACTAGCGCTTTCACTTCCATAGTTATAGTTACCTATCCAACCTTACATAGTTGACTCTTGGATCGCATCCGCATAGCAGCTTTAGCTGCAAGACAACTGCTCTTTGATGCTCGTCTTCCTCTCAATGGGCCAGCAAAAGGATTAGAGGGCGGAACTCGCTGCTTAGGTTTTTGGCGCTAGTGCTCGTTCCTATTTTATTGCCAAATACGGCAAGGCCATCAGAGAGGAGTGGCCCATGGATCTTGAACGCAGAAAGACTTAAACCCAAGTCATCGAAGGCTAGGACCCACTACAGTTAATGCTAACTAGTTATGGAGGTTTAGCAACAAACTAATATCTCTACATGCTCACTATCCTAATACCTCCACGAACAGTATATAAAACCTGATCTATAAATAATGAAATACAATATAGACAGTGAGACTTCACTCGGTATGACTGCAGAGTCTCTATGGAAAAGTAGGAATCCAATATGCTTATTTTATAATTCAGCTAAGAGGGTAAGCACAATCACCTTGGTTATCTGTCTATAGCTGTCAAATATGTAAATATGTCACTCACACGTGTGAGCATAAATTGACCAATATGTGTTTGTTCTTGTCACTCTGCTTAAACCCCCGAGAATCACTTTCGGTTCATACAAATGCAAGCGCAAGGCCGGCGAGTCCACAGGTATCGATAACGATTAGTTGGCGGCCCCCCAAGATCGGTTATTTCTAGTACTAAGTGAGGACACCTAAATCTACAAGTTATAAACGAAGTAGACATAAGCCGTTAATTAAATAGATAAAACAAAAGTAAAAAAACGTGCCATGTAGTATAACAAACTGGCAAATCTTCCTTTACATTTTAGGATACTTTCCAAGGTTGCTCGCGCAAATGATGATTAACCATACACTGAATCAATACGGAAGTATCAAATACTAACAGCTAAAGGTTACCTTTGTACAAATAATTCATTTTACGGGCTTGTAGTTGTATACATACATAGTTTTACTAATGTACATACCCATAAAGCTCTGTATCCGTAACAACTTTACAGACGACTCACCCAAAACTCCACAGCCGACCGCGGGGTGTTTTGTCAGCCAGGTACCATACCGCCCGCCAGCTGTGACGTGACCAGTGAAGCTTCGAGTCGAGCTTCTTTCTTTCACTTGCATATATCTTCTCCGTCTTCTTATTCTTGTGTACCGCGGAAGGTGAAGCTAATAAGCTACTACCTCTCCATCTTTCTCTTCAACAGTGCTCTAGTTTTATCAGAGCCAGGATGACCTCCATTCTCCTGCGATTCGAGAGTCGAAACGGCCAATTTCGACTTACGGTCAGCCCGGAGGAACTCTTCCCATCACTCCAAAGAAAGGTATTTTTCCACACTTGGTCAGAAGAGAGTGATGGCTGGATTAGAGCCAAATGCTAATCTG